ATCTATCTATCTATCTATCTATCTATCTATCTATCTATCTATCTATCTATCTATCTGTTTGTGAGGCAATTGGGGTTAAGTGACTTGCCCAGGGTCACACAGCTAGTAAGTGTCAAGTGTCTGATGTCACATTTGAACTCAGATCTGCCTGACTCCAAATCAGGAGTTCTATCCACTGGGCCACCTTGCTGCCCCTACTCTGTACGTTTTAAAAAGGTGGAGCAATTATCAGGTCAATCAATCAACATTTACTAAGTGTCTACTATGTGTCAAGCACAGTGTTAAATGCTGAGAATACAAAAAGGGGCAAAAGGTAGTTCCTGCCCTCAAGGAGCTTACAATGGAACTCGGGAGACAACACGCAACCAAATATAGACAAAGTAACTGATAGTCATATCATTCTGTCATACAGTACTTTTTTAAGTGACTTCAGAAGATGTGTACAAACCCAAATTTTTTTTAAGCCACCAGTTTTATCATCTAAAAAATATGACAAGGATTTTTTTTTTCTTAGTTACCACCAATGCTGGCCACTTACTCATTGTCTTTTTGAATACTGGTTGAACACTGATATCTCTGGATAGAGGTTCTGCTCCTCTTCCTGGTTGCAATTGGAAATGGCTGAATTATTGGATATACTCAAATGCCTTTTTCCCCAGGTTTCTGTGTATGCTGTACCAGAGAAGATAAACCAAACAGGCTATGCCCTGGATGCTGCAGTAACCCTTCTGGAGTTTTATGAGGATTATTTCAACATTCCATATCCTTTACCCAAACAAGGTAAATCAGAGAGGTTTTTAATCAGAGAGGTTACAAAACACAGAGTAAGAATGCACCCCAAAGCCCCAGAGGTAGACCTAACTACATAATTGCTGGCTCATCAGTATCCCAAAGAATGAATCTGGTGTGTGCATGACATTCTGTACATCTCTGCACTCTTGCTCTGTGCACAAAATTCATGTTTACATGAAAAGCAGATGCCTGTGCAGTCTCTGAGGCTCAGAATAAGAAGATATTCTTAAAGATGAATCAAACTAGTAGACTTTTAATGGTTAATATTTATTTGCCCTAAGGAAGTTTGTGAAAGTATATTTCTATAATATTAGAGAATATGTATTTTCTTTCCTACATGATGCCTTAAAACCATTTGTTTGGTCAAGTGTCTACATGAAGAATGAAGTGGCATCTTAAGACAATGATCAGGACAATTCAGCCCCAAACTATTGACTGTAAGGGTTCTTTCCAAGGGGAAGTGTACAGAATACTAGACTCCAAGGAAGATGAGGTTCTGTCATTCACTAGCTATAACCTTGGGGGCAAGTAGTTGGATTAGATAAAAGGGAGTTGGAATAGATAAGGAGTTCTTAACCTTTTGTGTGTGTGTGTCATGGACCTTTTGGCAATCTGGTGAAGTCTGTGGATCCCTTATTTTTGTTTTTAAACTGCAATAATTTCCCCCCCAGTTACATGTAAAAACAATTTTTAACATTTAACAATTTTTTTTGAGTTCCAAATTCTCTCCCTCCCTCCCCTTTTCCCCCATGGTAAGCAATTTGTTCTACATGTGCAATAGATTATACGTGTGCAATCATGCAAAGAATATTTCCATATTAGTCTGGATCCCTTCTTAGAATACTGTTTTTAAGCACATAAAGTAAAATACACTTACAAAAGATTACAAAGGAAGTCAATTATATTGAAGTAAAGCTTTCAATATCCTTTAAAAACAAGTTCACAGACTCTGGGTTAAGAACCCCCTAAATTAGATGGCCCCTGAGGTCCCTTTGTCTGTTGTTTTACTTTAGCTCTAGGCACCAAAAGTTTTGAAGGTTAGTGTGCCCTGAGCTTGTGACAGAGTGGTGTGTTACCTTAATGTTAAGCAAAGTGGTATGTTAAACTATTATCTTTAGATCTTGCCGCCATCCCTGATTTTGAATCTGGTGCCATGGAAAACTGGGGATTGACAACGTACAGAGAATCTGGACTGTTGTATGACCCTGAAAAATCTTCTGCTTCCAGTAAACTTGGTATCACCATGATAATAGCCCATGAACTGGCCCACCAGGTAATTAATGTGTCTTCCAGCTACAAGAGAGCAAAGGATGTTTGAAATAATTACCTGGAAGATTAGGCAACATTTTTGTAACACTTTCATTTAGATCTTTTTAAAAGAATTTCTTCCTTGAAAGTAAAATGATAACCTTTGCAGGCAGCATGGTGCAGTGGAAAGAGTATTGAATTTGGAGTCACTAGACCTGAGTTCAAATCTCAGCTCTGTCTCTTACCTTGGGTAAGTTATTTGATTTCAGTTTGCTCATCTGTAAAATGAGGACATGGATCAGATGACCTTTGAGTCCCTTCTGGCTATTGATCTATTGATCTGTAGGGCAATTTTTTTTTCTTCCAAGCACTAATTATTATGCCATGTACTTTTAAAAGATACTTCTTTTGTTTTTGATAAATAATTATAAAAATGACTGTTAAGCTAACTCTTGGTTGTTGTTCAGTTTATTTCAGTTGTGTCTGATTCTTCGTGACCCCATTTTGAGGTTTTCTTGGCGAAGATACTGGAGTAGCTTGCCATTTCCTTCTCCAGCTCATTTTACAGATGAGAAAACTGAGGCAAACAAGTTAAAGGTCACATAGCTAATAATTCTTTTGAGGCCAGATTTGAATTTAGGAAGATGTACTCTATCTTGACTCTAGGGTCAGCACTCTATCATCCACTGTGCCACCTAGCTGCCCATTAAGATAGCTACATTATGTTTGAATTAATACAGAGATATAAAGAACTCTACAAATCTACTTGCTGCTATAAAGTTTATTACCTATATAACTTTATACATGTGTATATGTGTATATCTATCTATCCATCTACTTTAAAAATGAGTAAGATACATTATTTTTCAGTGGTTTGGGAATCTTGTCACTATGGAATGGTGGAATGATCTTTGGCTAAATGAAGGGTTTGCAAAGTTTATGGAGTTCGTGTCTGTCAGTGTGACCCATCCAGAGTTGAAAGTTGTAAGTAGCATTATTTTAAAAATTGCTTTCTCCATTTTAATTTGCATTTTTGAAAGATTACTATAGATGCTTTAGTGATTATCTGCTCTAAGAAGTCCTAAAGAGAGAGTACATTTTTCTGCTGGTGAATGTATTGTGTGGATTGAGATTCATAAGCCCTTTAAAAACATATGCCAGAAAGACTGACTCCATCCGAATACTTATTTACAAAATGGATATGAATTTGTCATTTTCATTAGAGTGTCTTTTTATCTTTTAGATTGCCTCATAATTAAAGAAAATGAATGACTATCAATCTACCATACTTTTTCTTCACATGTCATGTTGGTTGCCCATCATAGAAGCTTCATTTGTATACCACCATTATCCCAGTAGGGCCCACATTCTAAATCAAGTATGCTTTTTTGTTGTTGTTGTTGTTGAGTGCAGATTTCATTTTATGTATTTCTTCAGGCAAGTAAAATTCTTTGAAATCACTGCATAGATTTAATGCTTTATTTGCTTTGAAATAGTATTAACTAAAATACTAAGATTACCACAAAGCCCTCTGAATTTTAAAATTAGAATGTGGTCCCTACTGGAGGAGACTGCAGAAGTGATTCTTTTGTTTTAAGAGCTTTTTTGCTTTCTATTATCCATTAAGTACTGTGCACAAAATCCAAACGATTCTCGTAAAGCCAATTTCTCTCCTTGTTTTTTTCTTAAGCTGTTAATATTTTCTTTTTTTAATTAATGAATTAATTTTTAGTTTTCAATATTCACTTCCATAAGCTTTTGAGTTTTAAATTTTCTCCCCCTCCAATCCCCATTTACCTCTCCAAGATGGCGTGCAACCCCCTTATTTTTAGAAGAATTCTAATCCATATATGGCAGATTATAGGAGCATGAAGAAAGTACCCTGAATTTTGTTTTGCACACATATCCTCCTAAATCCTACTTTCTATTTTCTTCAGTTTCTATTTAGTTGTGTGCTATAGCTAAACGTGGCCCTGGAGAGAGTTGAGAAAATGTACCTCTCTCCTTGTTGCAGGCCAGCTCTGACTCAGTGTAGTGGTTCCTGTTTGGGATTGGAATGAAATTTGCTAGCAGTTAGCAAAAGGAAGTTTATGTAGCATAGCCTGGAAAGGATAGTCAGCAAGTACACAGCATTAGTCCAGTTGGATGGATATACCCTGCCTCTGCATTTGCTGGGACAGCTTGCTGGCATCAAGCCTGAGGGAGGACCTTTTGATTCATTGCACTAGTTCCTGGGTCTCCAGTAAGCTATGTCAGTGGCTAGAAATCCAGTTCCTTGGGCCAGTTAAGTCTCAAAGCTAATTTTGATACTTTCTAAAGATAAACTAGGCTAATCTGTGTGGGGTTAGGACCTAAAGAGACGCTAGCCCAGTCTGTGTGTCAGGAACCCTAGTAGATAATGCTCATACCACACTCCTCTTTTAGCATAGGTAGGAGACTATGGAAGTGCAATATTACACATACTGTCAGACATGGTTGATGTGAGGGCTGCTTTTGAAGAACTACTTTTCTCCATCTTTCTTTATAGATGTTTGTTATAAGGGATGGCTCTTTGAGTTTGTTATAAGGGATGGCTCTCTGAAGTTGATGCAAAAACAAGACACTATTGAAGATGAGCTTAAAAAACAGTGTGTGGCACTGGTGATTTTTTTTCCCTCCTCTCTCATTAGGAAGATTATTTCTTTGGAAAATGTTTTGATGCCATGGAGATGGATGCATTAAATTCTTCTCATCCTGTGTCCACACCAGTGGAGAATCCTGCTGAAATTCGGGAAATGTTTGATGATGTTTCTTATGAAAAGGTACAAAATTATGGCTTTGTATGTGTGGTTTTGTATGGAGGTGTTTGTCATGAAAGTGTGTGTAACAGATGGCAGCTAAAATGAATTATTAACTTTACCTCATGAAGATCTAATCAGCAGCATGTATCTAGTTCTATTCATGAAACACTTAAGGAATGAAAGGGAGATAATTTCATAATTGAATTAGATAGCATTTTCAGTGTTATTTTGGACAAAAGTTTCCAGGGTTGAGTCATAGTAAAGTCCATAGAAACTCCCCATTTCATATTAATATAATTACTGTGTTTTTGTCACCTTCCACTCTCTCCTTCCACAGCAGAATGTAAGTTTCTTGAGGGCAGGGACTATAATATCTTTGTGCCCCTAGAATTGAGCACAATGTCTTTCATGTAGTAGACACCTAATAAATGTGTTGATATTAACTAAATTGAGACTTTTTGTGGGAGAGGAAAGGGGAAGGATGCAGTATCCCAAGGCTAGTAGTGGTTGGGCCTTGAGTTCATTCATCTGCATCAGGAATCAGGATTTGGTTGGTGAAATTTCTCTCCTTTGCCCCATCAAGGAAGATTGGAATGAATAGCATATTCCTGGAGACATCACTAGACTAAATGCCTAAGACAAAAAATTTTCCTGGAAAATGTGCTTAACCCATTGAATATAACCATTCAAGATTACTTTGCGTTAACATTTACAGTAGTGATTTTAAACGCTTTTTAAAAAAGACAGCTATGGCATGGACTGTTAAGATCAAATTGAGATGAGTTTTTTTTTTTAAATTTTCTTGGCAGGGAGCTTGTATCTTGAATATGCTAAGGGACTATCTTAATGCAGATGTATTCAAAGCTGGTATTGTGCAATATCTCCAGAAATACAGTTATAAGAACACCAAAAATGAGGATCTGTGGAATAGTATGACAAATGTAAGTATCCTTGTTGAAAAGCAAGGCTGAGAATTGGAGAGCCTGTTACCACAAGCACCCTATTATGTGAATTGTTGTAAAAAAAAAGAACCATATGTTCTACAGAAATACTAGTGATTTGTGTTTAAAAATTTTTTTTTATCAGATTTGTCCAATAGGTGATACACAAAAGACAGATGGATTTTGCTCAAGAAACCAACCTACATCCTCACTTTCGGTAAGCACTTCTAGCTGTTCTTACTTCTTTTTTTTTCTTTTTTACTTGTCTACATCAGGCTAATTTCACCCACTGGTCTGTCTCCAGGCAAGAATAAATGTAAATCAGAACTGAAAGATAATTTGAATCTTTTTTTTTTTCTGAAAAGTTAAAGTAAATTATGTAGTTTCCCTTGGAAATACATTTCATTCATATGATTTACTTTAATTTCAGTCCTTGCAAAGGGATGAATATCCAATAACATCAGTCTTTAGTGGGTCAGTACCACTGTCTCAGGATGGCAAGGTGGTGCAGTGAATAGAGCACTGAGCTTGGAACCAGGAAAACTCATCTTTCTGAGTTCAAATCTGGCCTCAGACACTTAATAGCTGTGTGACCCTGAGCAAGTTACTTAATCCTCTTTGCCTCAGTTTCTCACCTTTAAAATGAGCTGGAGAAGGAAATGGCAAATCATCTCAGTATCTCTGCCAAGAAAACCCCACATGGGGTCATGAAGGCATGACTGACTGTGTTGTGTTGTTCATCCTTCATTCTCAAAAAAAACCTAATGACATCATGAGAGTTATGACTTGACTTGCACATGAATTGGATTTAAGTGAGGCAGAGCTGTGCAAAGTCTTGAACAACAACAACAACAATATCAAAAACAACTAAATGAGTAAATTTAATTTACTTGGCTAATTTACTAAATATGTAGAAACCATAAACTTTTTTATTATTATTAATTTATTTTTAGTTTTCAACATTCACTTTTATAAGATTTTGAGTTCTAAATTTTTCTCCCTTACTTCCCCTCCCCCTCCCCAAGACAGCATGCAATCTGATATAGGCTATACACGTACAATCATATTAAACACATTTCCACATTAGTCATGTTGTAAAGGAAGAATCAGAACAAAAGGGAAAAACCACGAGAAAGAAAAAAATAAAAAAACAAAAAAAGAGAAAATAGTATGCTTCAATCTGCATTCAAATTCCATAGTTCTTTCTCTGGATGTGGATAGCATTTTCCATCATGAGTCTTTTGGAATTGTCTTAGATCATTGCATTGCTGAGAAGGGCTAAGTCGATCAAAGTCAGCCATTGCACAATGTTACTGTTACTGTGTACCATGTTCTTCTCGTTCTGTTCACTTCTCTCAGCATCAGTTCATGTAAGCCTTTCCATGTTTTTCTGAAGTCTGCCTGCTCATCATTTCTTATAGCACAATAGTAATCCATTACATTCATATACCACAACTTGTTCAGCCATTCCCCAATTGATGGGTATCCCCTTAATTTCCAATTCTTTGCCACCACAAAAAGAGCTGCTATCAATATTTTTTACATGTATCATAAACTTTTTTTTTTTGCTAGGCAATGGGGTTAAGTGACTTGCCAGGGTCACACAACTAGTAAGTGTCAAGTGTCTGAGTTCACATTTGAACTCAGATCCTCCTGACTCCAGGGCCAGTGCTCTATCTACTGCACCACCTAGCTGCTCCTTATCATAAACTTTTAAGAACTGATTGTAGGTATTCTCTGATTATCTGAAGAATTTTAAGTCCGGATTAGGCATTGCCAAAAGATTTGCTGTTGGGGATTCCTAATTTTTTTCTGTCTTCCACTCTATTTTTCTCTTCCCCTCTTCTATTTCTTTAGTGTATTCATGAAATAATTATATCATCAATAATAATAATAATAATAATGATAATGACTCACATTTAAGTAGTTGAAGGTATCCTTCATCCATTCTCTCATTTGATTCCCATACCAGTCCTGTTATAGGTAGCATAAAAGTATTATTAACTCCATTATTATCTATGAGGCAACCAAGGCTCAAAGAATACCTTGCTTAAGGTCATATAGCTAGTAAGTAGCAGAGAGGGATTGAACTCAGATGCCCTGACTCCAATTACAGGACCCTTTCCACCAATCTTCACCAGCATCCTCTAGTTTGTAGGAACCTCTTTCAGGTATGTACTATCTACTGAATAAATATTCTCTGAAAGCTTTGTTAGCATTAAGAATATAACTTCTTGTGAGTTTGTTATATTTTGGAAGTGTATGAAAACCCTCGCTCATTTTAAAAAAATAATTTTTTTACTATTCCTCTAAGAGAGCTTGCAAATTGTAGACTCCTTACCACCTTCCATGTATTGATTTTAATAGAATTTTATAGGCCTTGCAGACCTAACTGGTTTCTCTTTTTCATCGACCATGGTCATTGGCTGGTAGTCATCCCCTTTGAGCATCATTTAGTCTTCACTGATCGTTCTTTAGAGCTGAGTCCGAGAACGATTTGTCTGTTTATATTTAAATAGCACTGGAGCCAGAAGGTTGTTGATGTAAAAGCTATGATGAACACGTGGACGCTACAGAAGGGCTTTCCAATGATCACTGTCACCATGAAAGGAAAGAATGTCCATATGAAGCAAGAACTCTATAGGAAGGGAACCATTCACTCTGCAGAAACAGGGTAATGTTTACTAAATGTAACTTATTTCATCGTTCACGTCATGTCCAAGTTGTACACACGATTCTTCACTTGACATGAAAATGGACTTTCCCTCCTTCTGGTAATTTTTAACTATTTCCATTACATTTTATGTGTTCTTTCAATTTAAGTTCTTTGAATTTAATTTAAAATGGTTAGTCCTGACATTAAATGTTTGCTAGGATGGAGGCAATGACTGTTTTATTTTATCTTTGTATCCTCAGAAGCCTAACACAGTGTCTGTGACCTAGTAAATGAGCTTAGTAAACTTTTTTTTAATTGAATTGGATTGAGGATAACTTGAAGTCACTTGTATGAATTTAGTTTGGATCTGGGCGGCTGCCATTAAATTATAATGGTCCATTTTGAGGAGTTGAGAGCTAAAGAATGGGAAATTCACTGTTGAGCATTGATTCAGGTTAATTCTTGATTCACTGCTGAACACTGGTCAAGTTTAAGGGCTTCTTTTTGCCAAACTAGTCCTCCCTGGGATCTCACTGGAAGAAAGATATTGCATTTTGGTTGACATTAGAGCGATCCTTCGCATAAGCATCAGTCAATTATTAATTATTTATTATGTGGCAGGCACCATGCTAAACTCTGGGGAACTTTGCTAAATGCTAGAGAATATGCCAATGACATTTTGTGTTATTTCCCATAGCAGTTAACTATATTAATCCTTACTAAAATAACCAACAGTCCTCTTCTTCTTTTAGGTACCTGTGGCATATTCCACTGTCATACATTACCAGCAAATCAGACAAAGTTGAAAGATTTTTGCTAAGAACAAAAACAGGTAATTTGTTACTGAAGTGACCAATCTAATTTAATAGGAAGCCCTTCACAAAATGTTTCTGAGGAGTTAATTTTTCTTCTGTAAAAATTAGTCTTCTTTTATTAGTGTTTTTCTTTTTAAGATCCATTTTAATCAGGTCTCTGGCCTTCCATTTAAAGTGAGGATTTTGAGATTAAAAACCATGTAGCTGAAAAAAAAAGCCAAGTTCCTGTCAGACAAGTTCCTGTTTTGAATGATATGCTGATGGTAGCGGTGGGATTTCCAGTAGAAATGTCTGAAATCTTTGAATGCATTGCTGTGTTATATCTTTTTACTTGTAGGCTGAGAATAGATTGCATTTTTTTCATAGACTTCTTAAGTCTTGGAACACAGTAGATTAGTGCCAGTGCTAGGTGTTTTCCATTGAGCTGCTTTTCCCTGGTTTCAAGAATAATGATCTGTTGCAATTTCTGCTGTGTCAGAGCCACTCTGGATGCCTTCCATATTCCCTTGCATCAGTTTAGATTGGTTCAATAGTTAAAGAAAATGGAGCTACAATTTATTTTGCTTGTTGTAGATGTCCTCATCCTCCCAGAAGAGGTAGAATGGATCAAATTCAATGTGGGAATGTATGGCTACTACATTGTACATTATGAGGATGATGGATGGGAATCTTTGACTGGCCTTCTAAAGGAAAAGCATATGACAATCAGCAGCAATGATCGGGCGAGTCTGATTAACAATGCATTTCAGCTTGTCAGGTAAGTAACCTATGCAATGCCTGTCTCTATTTACTTCTGAAATCAAATGCTATTGTAATACCTAGTAGGCTTGGAGAATGACTCCTCCAGGCATAATATACTTTGGGAGTACCATATCTGCTCAAAACCATAGTTTATATTTACCATCAATATATTTATCATTATTAGTCAGTTGGAGGACATACTTTGCTCAAAATAAAGTTCAAAGACAGTCTTTAATGGACTAACATGGTAAAGAAAAGTAACAGCAGAACATTTCTCCCATTAACCAGGAACACAAACACATTTTTGACGAAGAGATGGGACGCACACAGAAACACATACAGAGAGGCACATACGTAGTAAATTCATGTGTCCAGAGCACAAATGCAGAAGGTCAGCTCATGCCTCCAACACTGCAGGGCCATTGATGCCTTCTGGTGATGTGATCATTTTGCTGCTGCTAGGCCTAAGTCCTTCTAGTGTCTACGAAGTATAGTCTTGGCTAAACACTTCTCTGAAGAATGAATTGTCTCTGCTGAATACCACCAGGCTCAGTTCCACTGAGTGGTGGTGGTGGTGTTCCTCTCTGCTTCTAGCTTCTGGTTTCAGCTGCAGTCCTTAGCCAAAGGGCTGTCTCTTCCTCATGAGAAGAGTAGGTACTGCTATGCTTTTAAAGTCCTAAGGCTTTCAAATCAGCAGCCTTTAACACCCAGCCATTAGACTAGGGTATCAAACAAAGCCTTTTTTCCTCAAAGATTGGTCAGTTTCTCAGAGTCTTGATTAGAAGGAGCTTCTTATTTCCACAAGGTAATACTTTTTCTCCATGTACCAAGTTCTTTAGGACTTGGAGCAGTCACACCTAGCTAGCTGGTGCCTCCAGGCTCAAGTCTGGTTTGTTTTTTTTTTAATACCATTTCCTGGTCACTGGGTCTCTCCCTTGAAGACTTCACTTACATTATTATGAAGACTTAGGGTTTATACACTCTTTTTCTCCCTCTGTTTATCTTTGAGGACTTTTGTTGTTGTTCAGTCTTTCAGTCGTGTCTGATTCTTTGTGACCTCATAGCACAACAGGCCTTTCTATCCTCTACTATCTCTCGAAGTCTGTCCAAGCTCTTATTTATTGCTTCCATGACACTACCTATCCATCTCATTCTCTGCCATTCCCTTCTCCTTTTGTCTTCAATCTTTCCCAACATCAGTGTTTTTTCCTATAAGCCTGCCTTCTTATGTGGCCAAAGTATCTAAGCTTCAATTTCAGTATTTGTCCTTCCAGTGAATGATCTGAATTAATTTCTTTAAGTATTGACTAATTTGATTTTCTTGCTGCCCAAGGGACTCTCAAAAGTCTTCTCCAGCACCACAATTTGAAAGTGTCAGTTATGCAGTGTTCAGCTTTCTTTATAGTCCAACTTTCAGAGACATACATTACTACTGGAAAAACCATAACTTCAACTATATGGACCTTTATCGGCAAGGTGATGTCTCTGCTTTTTAGTATGCTATCCAAATTTATCATAGCTTTCTTTTTAAGGAGTATCTTTTAATTTCATGACTGTAGTCACAGTCTACAGTGATCTTTGAGCACAAGAATATCTTTTTTTGTTTGTTTTTTTTTTTTTTTTTGGCTAGGCAATGGGGTTAAGTGACTTGGCCAGGTCCCACAGTTAGTAACAAGCACAATCTGAAACCATTTCCATTTCCATTTCCATTTCTTCTCTATTTGCCAAGAAGTGATGAAACCAGTTGCCAAGATCTTAGTGTTTTTAATGTTAAACTTAAAGCCATCTTTTGTATTCTCTTCTTTCTCCCTTATCAAGATGCTTCTTTGAGAGCTAGACTATACCTAATCAGTCTCTTTTTCCTAAAGATCACTCTCCCAACAAACTTTCAGGGCCTTCAGAGTATGGGGTTCTTCAGTTTCTCAATTCCCAAACCCCCTTCACTTTTCCTATGGATGATGGGGAAGGCACAAAGTCAGAGTCAAGCCCAGTAGGCCAACTTACTTTCTTCCAGTTTAGCCGTATTCCTGCTTAAAATTTGTAAAAAATACATATACATATTATATAAAAAATATTAAAACACTATATAATATATTTAAATATATATGTTTATTAAATATATTTCTAAAGGAAATATATAAATAAAATAAATATATATTATAAATATATTATATATTTTAATTATATATATTTTATATCGATTTTAACCTGTCCTTTTGGGCTTGACTTTGTCTTTGTGCCTCCCCCATCACCCACATGGAAGGGCAAAAGGGTTTGGGAATACACACACACACACACACACACACACACACAAACACACACCCATTTTCAGGCTTTTGCTTTGTAGCATTGTCTCAGTGTCAGTATCTAAGAATGAGAGTTTTGTAACTTGATCCAATCTCTTGGGAAGGAAGAGGAGGATCACCTTATTTCCAAGGACACTTACTTTGCAACCACTTTTAGCTTTGGGGAGACCCAGGTCGACATCATGCTTTATACATACACTTACCTGTTTCCTGTCTCTGTGTCAGAACAGTGGTTTCTTTGATTAGTCTTTCTAAGGAATTTGTGGGAATTCTTGAGTTTCTAATTTCTAACCTTTAGAAGATGGACAGGAGCTGACATGCCCATTTTGTCTTAATCAAAAGCTAAAATTGAATCTATTGCACCTATGGAAATTTTCTTTAGACTACAGATGTGCCAGACAGAAAAGATTTGGACAAGGAATTACACAGAAGAGTGGGGAGATACACAAGCAGGGCAGTGTACTGAATTAAATTTAATATGCACCTAAGAGTCACAATTTCATATATAATTTTCTCTTCTTTATGTATTGAAATGCTCATGTTTGTTTTTTCAAGTTCACATTAAAGAAAACTTTTTTAAAAAATTTTAACAAAATGATGGACTGTTTGGTCAGAAGGTGGTAAAGTTGTCTCTTGAAACAGCAAACTAAGTTCCTAGAATTTTTATCTGCAATTATCTTCTCTTTTGTTCAGCATTGGAAAATTATCCATTGAAAAAGCTTTGGACTTAACCCTATACCTGAAACATGAGACTGAAATCATGCCTGTCTTTCAAGGTTTGAATGAGCTGATCCCTTTGTATAAGTTAATGGAGAAAAGAGATATGAGTGATGTAGAAACTCAATTTAAGGTAATAACCTGAAGTAGACTTATAGCTATATGGCTGTTGAATGCTTTCTTAAAGTTACAAAAATGTTATTCTTACAAAGTTTGGAAAGTGTTTTGTAAACCAGAAGGCACTCTAAAAGTGTGGGCTACTATTATCACCAGTCATAACCCAGTGTGCAACACTTCTGAGTCAAAATCATTCAATGTCTTATTTGCCCCTACTAAGGTCCATGAGGGTAGTGGCTCTTATACTTTCATATTTGTATCTCCAGCATTTTGCCTAGTGCTTTGCATAAAGTAAGTGCTTAATAAAGCACTTTAAAATTCATTCATTGATTGATATAATCATTGATTTAATCTTTAAGAGCACTATAGTGTATTTATACTAAATGGCAAGTATGATCATGCTAGCATTTAAATCTGGTTCTCATAGGCACATTCACATTTTTTTTATCCAGTACCTTTATTTCATTGCATTTGTTTTGGTCTGCATTAATTTTCTGGTTACTCTAGAACTAAACAACAAGAACCAAAGTTTTCTCATCCCAGAAATGATTTATAATTGTTTCTTCTAAAATCTTATTAAATAAGCTGCCATTTTAATAATGTTGTTAGTTATCCAATCCAGATGGCATTATCATCCTGATTTTTAGGTACTTCCAGAGAAGATGAATATTGAAGTAACATTATTATTTTTTCCCACTGCTTTGGTAGTTAATGTATCAACAAAAGAAGTATGAGACTTTGAAAATTAGGGATGAGTGAAACAACGTAAAAAATCTATAGCAGGGGTCATCAAACTGGGGTTTGTGAACTTGTTTTTAAAAAAAACTGATAACTATTTCAATATATTTGATTTCCCTTGTAATCCTACATATTTTATGTATTTAAAAATATTATAATGAGAAGGAGTCCTTGACACAAAAGTGGTTCATTTGGTAATAAGAAAAAGTAAGATTCTTAGAGATAATAATGTCAATTCTTGGTGGCATAAAACACTGAAGCTTTCCCTCTCTGTCATGTCCCTAGGCTTTCCTTATCAGGTTACTTAGGGACCTCATCGATAAGCAGACATGGACAGATGATGGCTCAGTCTCACAGAGGATGCTGCGCAGTCAACTCCTTATGCTTGCTTGTATACGCCAGTATCAACCTTGTGTTCAGAAGGCAGAAGACTATTTCAAGAAATGGAAAGAATCCAGTGGAAATTTTAGGTCTTTTGTCATAGAATTAATCTATTATTTCATTCCCCATCTCCTTCCCCACCTCTTCCCCTTCTGCTGGGTAAAAAGCTTATTTAAAACACAGCACACACACACACACACACATACATACACACACATGCTTTGCACCCCATACCTAGCTAAGCCTTCTCTTTTTCTTCAGATGGAAGGTTTTGCTTAGCTATCTTATTCTTGAATCCCTCAAGTATGGTAAGTAGGAACATCTTCACATATCAGTTAAATGTCTCACCCTTTGCCATTTGTAAAGAAGTTATTGACAAATTGTCCTCTTTATGAAGACTCCTAGGAACCCTGAGAGATAAGAAAATTTGCTTTCTGTTGTATCTTCTGGTCATGTCAGCCAAGATTATAGCCTAATCTCTTCTTTTGGTTTTGTTTTTGGACTGGATGTATGATTTCATTGATATAGGGAACACCCTTAGAGAAGGTTCCCTGTACCAATGCAGGCCAGCTACTGCCCTCTGACTTACAACTTACAGAGTTATCAGGGGTCTTGAGCAGTATCTCTGGGATCTTGAGCTCAAAGTAGTTCTTTAAGGTGGCAGTCTCTAAAGTTTTTTGATTGCACACTCTTATTGGTAAAAAAAAAATTGGAACATGTACCCCCAATATACGTATATTTACTTATATGTTACATATATGAACTACTAATAAAAGTTACACAAAATAGAAATAGATGAAGATGAAATATTTGGTTCTAGAGCTGATAGTGAGCCACTGGTGTTTATCGAGTGTAATGATATCATTAGATCAGCACTAGAAGGAATTTTCCTAAAATTTTCCTTTTGGCAGTTGTGTAGAGGGTGAATTTAAGTGATAAGAGATGGAAGGCAGGGAAACCAGTTAGGAGATCATTGCAATAGTAAAGGCAAAGTGATGATGGTCTGAACTAGGGTGGTGGCTATGCAAGTAGAGAGAAGGGATCAGATGCTGGAGATGTGGAGGTAGACCTGAGGAGATCTGGCAATTGATTGGCGATGTGAGGTCACTGGAAGGATGGTGGTACCCTGGACAGTAATAGAAGTCAGATGGTATTGGGAGGAAAGATAATGTAATGATATCCATGGATGCAGATCATAGTCTGTCCAAGGCTGTTTATTTATCCTGTGTTATTATTCACTTTGTCTATTCTGGGAAGTGTCTGTTATGGGGCTATCTGGGAGCACAGGGTAAGGGTGTAATCTTTTCTTTTGCATTTTGGTGAGGCAATCAGGGTTAAGTGACTTGCCCAGGATCACACAGTTAGTAACTGTCAACTGTCTGAGGTTGGATTTGAACTCAGGTCCTCCTGACTCCAGGGCCAGTGCTCTATCTACTGTGTCATCTAGCTAGCCCAGGGTGTAATCTTCTGAATGGCACCTGCACAGCTGCTGCCATGCATTCCCCAGAGCCTTGTGGGGGTCTGATGATTCCCCGGAGCCTTGTGTGGGCTCAGAAGAGGGGAGGTAGGGAGTTTGCAGATCACAAGTAGGGAGCAGAGTGGGCAGTGTTGGGGAACTAAGAGGGTAGATGGGTTATTTTGGAGACAAACCCTCCAGATGGCTGTTGTAAAGATGTGACCCATCTTCCCAACCTCTAGTTGGTTGACAACACACTCCTTGGGGTCTGCTCATTGTCCTGTTCATGAGTAAGACCATGATTCTCACTTTGGAGATCACAGCTCTAAGGCACTGTTGTAAAGCATTATGTTGAGGTCTTAACCCATATCCTTACTTTTGCCTGAAACAATATAGTCTATAGAACTCTATTTTTGCTCTATATCTTGATTACCCTGGGGAATTAAGAAGATGTACTGTCTACATATGACTTTTGGTCACAGGATTATAGTATTAAGAAAGGTCTGAGAAGAGATCATTTAAACCATTTAAAATTCTTTGGCATCTTTTGCAAACCATGAAAAGACAAAAATTCATTATATTCATTCATTAAATACTTATTGGTCACCTAATCTACAAGGCACTGTGTTTGGGCATGCATCTCTGCAACACACATCAGAAAAAAACAAAACAAAACAAAAAACAACCAAATACTACAATGGGAAAATTTCATCATCACAAAATTTTTCATTATTACACATTTATTATGTGTCTAAACCCTATTAAACCTAATACTCTCACAAATTTGTTTTTTGTAGCTTACCAAGTGATGTGACCTCTGCAGTGTTTGCTGTTGGGGCACAGACCACAGAAGGCTGGGATTTTCTCTTTGAGAAATATCGGTCGTCTTTGTCCAGTACTGAGAAATACAAAATTGAATTTGCCCTGTCTACTAGCCATGATAAAGAAAAGCTTCAATGGTGAGCAATCTTCCCACTTTTGGAATGATAAAGCAAATTAAATTAGATAAGGTTATGTTGTCGTAGCTTTGGTTTCCTTGGGTACTGCTTGCTTATTTAGTAGTAGACAGCCATGCACACCTTGTACTATTATGACAAATCCTTTACAGCATCAAATCAATTGTGAAATGGAAAATATAATGAATAATTTCAGAGACACTAGACAGCAAAGTTTGATACATGAGTTTATCTTTAAGCACCCTCAAAACAACACAATATTATGATTCACTCATCTTTATTTTGGTCTCCCTGCCTTGAGTGTCTCCCCATCTTAGTCCATCTTCCACTCAGTCATCAAATTGATCATCCTAGAGGCATACGTCTGACCGTGTTACCTCCACCCTACCTATTCAGTCAACTCTAATGGCTCCCTATGGCCTCCGGGATCAAACAGAAAATCTTCTCTTTGGCTTATGAAGCTGTCTGTATCCTCTCTCCCTACCTTTCCAGTCTTCTTAAACCTTATAGCCCCACATACTCTTTGATGGTGGGGCATGGGCTTCTTTATTGTTCATTGAATGTGACGCTCCATCTCTCAATTCTGAGCATTTCACTGGCTGTTCCCCTTGCCTGAAACTCTCCTTCCTCATCTCCACTTCCTGGCTTCCTTGGAAGTCTGAGCTAAAATTTTACCTTCTGTAATGGGCTTTTCCCAACCTGCCTTAATGCTAAAGTCTCCCCTCTGTGGATTATCACCAATTTAATTCTTTACATGTTTTGCTTGCACATTGTTGAGAGGGCAAGGACTGTCCTTTGCCTTTCTATCCCCAGTGCTATTAAGAACATAAGTGCTTGATAAATACGAGTTGACTAACTAATGTTACCGGATATATATCTTTCTCTCTTCCTTGAATTTCTGATCACTACTGGTGTATTTTTGTGAAGATTAGGCATTAAGAACACAGATTTTTTTTTTTTAGGCAATTGGGGTTAAGTGACTTGCCCAGGGTCACACAGCTAGTAGGTATCAAGTGTTTGGTCTGAGGCCGGATTTGAACTCAGGTCCTCCTGACTTCAGGGTCAGTGCTCTATCCACTGCGCCACCTAGCTGCCCCCAAGGACACAGATTTAATACCCACCTCTGTACCCTTTATGTTTTAATAGTACTAACTTCATTCTTCAGACTGTTTCATGGATGTCAGCCATAGCTGTTTCATAAGTAAATCACCATTTACATTTATTCTCATTCTTCTTTTAGGTTACTGGAGCAGAGTTTTCAGGGGGATATAATAAAAACTCAGGAGTTTCCAAGTATTCTTGGTTTGGTTGGCAGAAACCCAAAGGGTTATCTCTTGGCTTGGCAATTTCTGAAGGAAAATTGGAACAGAATCATAAAGAAGTAAGTAGCTCTGCCATAATTTGTAAGTTTCTTTACTCTATTTTCAGTTTCTTAATCTCAAAATAACATCAATCTTAGGGAGGTCTGGGTTGGAGAAAAGGAGGCAACTAAAATGATCATTGAAAAATCTCTTGAAAATATGAAATCCTAACGAGGTGCTCACTGATGTGTATTTCAGTAATTCCTGTAATTCCTTTCTCCCTCCCCCAACCTATGTTAACCCAATTCATTGTTCAGTCTAATTGCAATGTCACAAGGCCTCCACTGAGCCCACACTAATCTCTCCTTTTTCTGAGCTTTCCTAGCAAACATTGTGCATACCACTTCCTTTTATATGTAATCATAGACTGCCTGGCTTTGTCACTCAGCCATCTTACATGCATGTCTTGAGCCTCTAAATGCATTTTAAGTTCCTGAAGGCAGGAATCATGTTTTATATTTCTTTTTACTTTTTTCTAGGTTAAACATCATGCTCTACCTGGGCTAGCAATTCATCAAATGTTTGGTAAATGAAAATTTCAAAGTATGTCTTGTTAATTGTCATTTCTAGGTTTGAACTTGGCTCAAATTCTCTAACATACATGGTGATGGGAACCACAAATCAGTACTCTACAAGAGAACGACTTGAAGAGGTAATATTTTCCTAACTAAACTTCTTGTGTCACAAATTATCTACTAAAAATAAGGTAGATTAAAACATGTAAGGAATTAGACGTAGGGGAGATTTTCAGTTATTATAGTCATGTTGACATTGCCGTACTAAAGTGAACTTAGAGGCACCCAAGACAACCATCGTACTCACACCCATGACTGCAGATGGGCATTCCGGAGTTGGAAGATTTCAGCTTGCAGGGAACTTCTAGTCCAGGGGTGGGGAACCTGTAGCTTCGAGGCCAGTCAATGAATCCAGTCAAAGGGCCGCACTTGAGGACCTAGAGGGCTACATGTGGCCTTGAGGCTGCAGGTTCCACATTCCTATCTAGTCCAATCTCTTCATCTAACAGATCAGGAAATGGAGGCTCAGAGAGGTTGTGACTTAGTTATGTAATTAGATAGTAGCTAGGCCAGGATCTAGGTCTCTTGACTTTCAGGTCAATGCTTTTCCCATTGTATCTTGTTATGTATCCTATTCCCCAGGGTGTTTATATAATATGCATTTCTATGCCAACATACCCCTGTGCTTGTATGAATGAAACTTATTTGGTAAATAAAATTTTTTTTTAAGTGTGTATGTGTGTGTGTGTGTGTGTGTGTGTGTGTGGGAACAAGGAGAGAACGGGGGAGAGAGAGAGAGACAGTCCTATCTATATAGCAAGTATACTCTTGGTTAAACCAGAACAATGCACTAGTAAATGGTGCATTCTCAAGTTTGGATAAGCAGAAGAAACTCATATAAGAAAAAAATGACCTCAAGAAAACTATTTTGAGTAGCCTAAGTTCAAGTTCAAATGTATATAATTTCATCTACAGACATGGCTCACATATGAAACTTTGGCCAATGCTGAAGTTTTAGCTCATGTAATTTTTTCTCTGGTGATCAGCTGTGCCTCAGTAATCTCAGCTGTAAAAAAGAGAATGGCTTGGACTAGATGATCTCTGAGGTCTCTTTCAGCTCTAAAAAAAATAAATTTATGTTTAATGTAAAACAAAAAAAAGGAAAAAGACACTTTTTTCATTTTTCCTCAACAGGTGAAAGAATTCTTCAGCTCTTTGAAGGAAAATGGTTCCCAGCTTCGCTGTATCCAGCAAACACTTGAAACAATTGAAGAAAACATACGCTGGATGAATCAGAATTATGAGAAAATCAGAGTGTGGTTACAAAAAAGCACCAACTCATTGTAACTTTTCACATCTTGCCAGGTTCCTGTGATCTACTATAATTACCAGATTTTGTGATAAAGGTGAATTTACTAAGAAAAAAAAAGCTTTTTTGCTACAAGGTGGATATATTTTCTAGCATCTAAAAAAGATGGTTTCTGGCTCAACTCCACTCATTTTTCTACCCCCATGACTATTCATTTCTCTCAGCAGGATTATTGACATAGATATTTACAGGTGCCAATGCAGTATAAGCCTTGTACCAAAATGTAAAGGATGCTTGGTTGTTTTTCATCTGAATCCAGGACCTACTGCTATCTACTATGTATTAAGACAAGTTTCTTCACCTGTAAAATAAAGATAACTCACACGCAACCTACCTCAAAAGGTTTTAAGAAAGATCTTTATAAACCTCACATTGCTAGACAAATCTGAATATGTATGAAGCATATCTATTATCATGTTTTTTCTCCTCCAGGAAGGAAAAGTGAGAGGAATATCATGATGATTATCTTGAAACTAGTAGGGGCTAGAACAAATATGGTCCAAGATTAGAATACAAATTTAATGTTAAAAAAAATTAAGAGTTCCTATTAAGGCTTAGCATAGGGGTTCTTACCCTGGAGCATGTGGACCCCCAGGGGTGAGGCCCTTGAACTTAAATGGTAAAAAATTACATTTTTGTTTCAACATAATTGGTTTCCTTTGTAATCTTTGTACATATGCTATTTAATGATTTTAAAACAACATTCTGAGAAGAGGTCCGTGGTACAAAAGGGGCTAAGAAGCAAAAACGTTTAGCTGAGATTGAGCTGGAGTGATGTTGCTTGGTGATAAGGTGGTAGGAAGAGAGAAGCACAAATGAATTAATTCGGTCTGACCACGAGTGCTGAAGCAGTTAGGAAATTGTAATGCCAATGAAGAACAATTAGGTCAAAGAATATTAATTGTATTATCACTAAATATTTTAAATGTTAAAGTATTTAAAATGTTAAATGTTAAAATGTTAAAATACTGCAAGATGACTGAAACTAGTTAAACACACAAGTCAAAATGAAAACCAGCTGCCTTTGTAGTTTACATGAATTAAAAAAGATACCTTGGATTTCGTATTAGAACATATTAGGCTTCTTAATATTTTGGAATAATGATATTTCAGTGGAGAAAGACCTTGAGATGTAGTGACTTAAAAAAAGAGTATTAATGACACTTTTCTAGATAATGTTTCATGAAGTTGCATTTTCTGTTATTTGAGAAATTTAATGATCATACTTTTCAGTTTTTTCTTATTAAAAAAAACACAACCAAAACTAATGAAAGTAATTTTAATGGAAAGTTTGTTGTTTTAAATAAAATCGGATCCATTTGAATGAAACATGGGATTTTTTTATGTTGGACACTAGCTTTCATCTACTTATGGAAAAGCCTTATTTTAAACTGATACACCATGACCACATCAAAACACAGTTACCTTTTTTCAGAAATGAATTGTCATCTCTGGGTTTCTTTGCCCTTGTGCACATGATAACAACAACAACCACCTTCTCTCTCAGTCAGCTATGGGCTGTGTTCAGAACCTATAACCTATTAAGCTTCAGTAACAGGATGTATGCAAGTGCAGATGTAGTACCCATTCCAAGGGGCTTATCCTCCATCAGAGGCAGGGTTTTGGTGGTTGCTGATCTTTTGTTTTTAAAACTTCCTTGATTTCTTCAAGAAAGTCAATGCCACAGAGGCTTGTCTTTACAGATGAAATTTCTAAGTGTGTTGTTTGGAGATATTACACGCTATTAAAAAAAAAACCACAGTTTTTCAAATTTAGTCTATGTGATATGAGCCTACCATCTCTTCCCATCTGGAATTCAAAATGTTAAGATCATATGAAGCAACTGTTAATATTCAGCTGTATGTTCAGTGCCATGTCCATAAACTCATTTACCTTCAAAACATTTTATTAGCCATTCATACCTCCAGAACAGTGGTTCTCAGATTTTCTGCAATGGTACACTCTTAAACAAAACTTTGGAAGAGCCCATGTAGGGAAAGCCTTGTAAAACTATTTTTAATGCTCAATATCAATAGAAGGCTCATTAAACCTAAACCAAACCCAACCCTCCACCTCAGGGTGCTTCACAGTTCCTTGAAATGAAACATTGTTCTAAAACCTCAGAGCTTGACTCAAATTGTTGTAGGGAGATGAAACACCAAGTTTCATGGTTTGTTTTTTTAAGCAGCAAAATTATTTTTGTCCTTACTTGACGAACTTAATTTTCTTAAAGTCTGTACAGTGCAAAGACTAACATTTTAATATTGCTTTTAAAAATTATATTCAAGTCTTATATGATGAAGAGAGACACCTGCGTTTATCTCCAATGACATGCAGAACTGAATATGAAAACAAAAATGAATTGTTGAAGGCACAAATGCATTCTAAGAACTTATTTCTATCCGTGCTTGACATTAGCTCTGAGTCTGTTCTTGTCACAGGGTGACAGGAATTGGCCATGTTCTGTTCTGGTAATGATCTTCCCACCTGAGCCTCAGTATGCTTTATGCATGCAAGCCCTGGAAAGCCTGCCTTCTGGGAAAAAGGGAGAAGAACTGAGGAGAAAAAAGTCACATGATATATTTTGCTCCGTGCTCTATAGAAAAGGGTTGTCATTGTTCTTTTATTATCAGCAGCCATGGTGGAGATGTGTGCACCTTACACAATATTCCATATTTGACCTATAAATTTTTATTGGTCATTCACCCAAGGAAATGTCTGGTACAAGGGGCAAAGGGTAACCAGCAATCAGAACATTCCAGAACATCGAAAGCATTTCTCAAATGTTTTAAAAAAATATTGGAAACCAGAAGAAACCTATTAAATTGACAGGCACTGTGTGGAGAATATGTGCAAAAGTTTGCAGACTTTTTTTGGTTGCCATAAGTAACTTTCTATGAAATATATTTCTTAAAAATATAAAGCATCCTTTCCCTCCCAAATGAAGAAAATAAAAAAAAAGTTTATCAATGCTTAGTACAATAATACAGGCAACCAAGACATATCCCAGTCATTTCCTGGAAAAGAACATGGAACTAAAAATTTCAGAATGTCGAAAGACTCCACAAATACCACTGTACAACAGCCACCCTGAATAATTGCTATCTGCTGCAAGAGGCTTTGGTTTGCTTAAAGTCACCATCCACCATTTGAATGAAGATTTTCTAGCATATGAAGATAGCCTAAAAAAAAAAAGTCAAGGAAAAGAAACTCAGTGAAACATTTGATATGGAATTCCCACCCCCCCCCTCTCCAAAGCACCATAAATGTACTGGATAGAGTAATTCTGCCCACATTCAATATCCTCTCTCATCCTGCCACCTCATTCCCCTCCAACTGATAAAAATAAATAAATAAAAATGCAATACAGGGAATCAATAACTTGTAGGTTGGCTAATTTTCATTAGGCTTATCCTGATTTCTTATAGGTACATTGTCAGGGACTGTATATGCATTTTAATGACTAGGACAGATTTGTCCATCTGCGATAGTTTAGCTATCCTAAGGCAAGACCTTTATAAGATCTGAGATTCCTTCATGTCTTCTGATTCTAACCTAAAGTAAATGAACAAATAGCTACCACGAGAACCTACTACTTTATTTCTCAAATCTTAAAAGTTTTTTGTTCACTTGTTTCAGTTGTGTCTGACTTTTTGTGACCCCATTTGGGGTTTCCTTGGCAACGATACTGGAGTGATTTGTCATTTCATTCTCCAGGACATTTTACAGGTGAGGAAACTGAGGCAAACAGGGGTGACTTGCCCAGGATCTCACAGCTAGTAAGTATTGGGGGCCAGATTTGAACTCAGGAAGATAAGCCTTCCTGACTCTAGGTTTAGCACTCAATCCACTGCACATTAAAAGTATAAAAGTAGTCAAATCTTCCTGCTTCTCAAATGCTTCTTTTCCTATGAACTCCCCCATCCCTACTCTATTGTATTTTGCCTTTTTTTTTTAATTAGTTCAGGTCTGTGATATCATCAGCTTCCTCTGTTCATTGAAACAGAATGGTAATTCATCTGCAACTAAGAAATTTGGCTGAGGGATTAAATAACTTGTTCAGTGTAACCCATTCAGTATGTGTAAGGTTCTATACTTGAACTCAAGTCTTTACAACCCTGAGATTGGCTTATACCAGAAGGCTTCTCATTTTGCTCAATATCTATATCTTGGGGTCATGCAATTTTAGGTTGTGACATGCCATTCACTTACCTATTGCTGCTGTTTGGAATAATACTCTCATTTACTCATCAGCATTTAGATTTTGAAAATTCAAGCATATCAAGTTTCTACTTGCAGATTTGTTTTCTTTAATAGCTTGGTAGGAGATTTTAATGTGTACCATTTATAAGATTAACATGTTTAAATATTCCAGTAACAGAGTTCTATTATGAGGTGCTTTGGGGAGAGTGACTGATGAGGATGTAAATTACTGAATGTGTATTTCATGCAAGAGGTACACAAAGATGAATTAAGTATATCAGATGTGGTTTTCATGTACAGTTAGAAAATGTGGCTTGTACTTTGTTACAATTGTGATCATTCAAAAGGAATTCTTCCAAATCTTACCCAGTAGTCTGCACTTTTAACTTGTCTTTTCTCCATCGGCTTTTGACCTGGAAGATTTCTCTTTTGCCTGAAAGGAAAAGCAAAATTATTGACGGGAATTTTCCCTTTTCTGTATTAAAAATAACAAACTGAATCGAAGAAAGTTTGTAGAAGAATAGGTCTCTTAATAGTTCAAACTTTGGGGAAATGGCTAAAAGTACCAGGTAGTGTGTAACCCCCAAGTTAATATCTATCTACCCATCTGTCTGTCTATATGTGTGTCTGTCCATCTAATCTATAAAACTGCCATGTGTGCATTCATATCCTATAAACTCCCTCATCAGATAGGATCATGCCTTTAATTTTTTAAGGGAAAGGTGTGATCACACTTTTTTTTGTCACAACATATGGTTCAAAATATAATAAGAAACTAAATGTTTAATATGCTCAGGAGATAATTCATATTTAGCTGTTCTCCCTTTCTCTCATCTCTTGGGATATTTCATTGGATATAAACAAATTACAAGTACATGGAAGTGTCTGACTTATTTTAAAGCATTCCAACACTTCTAGAATATTTTTTTTAAAGAAACCACATACTACTATTCCCCAAACTGATAGCTTCTGTCTCATTATGGTATGTTGATTCAAGAAAACAGTCATTCTGAACTAAAGAAATGTCAGAGAACTTGGAATTCATCTAATACAACTTTCTTCCCCTTCCCTGAATTCTTTTGGTGACAGGCAGTTCATTACTCCTCCCATGTATGGATAGCTCTAATTAGCTTATTTTGAGTTGGAATACTCTTCCCTTCCTAATTTCTATCCAGCAATTATTCTGTCCTCTGAAGCAACAAAAATGAAGTCTACTTACTCCTTCTCCCATAAGTAAGCCCTTCAGGTTATTTAAAGACATGCCTACAAAAATATCATGACCTTTGTCAGAGGTCTCATGAAATAAAAACAAACTGTACGTAGCATTCTCTTAATCTTTCATTCTAGTAACCCCTATCAAAAACAGGGCTCCAAAAAATTATTTTCAGGGATTGCATCATGAAATCCCAACATAAATAGGATCTATTGGGCACTTCAGTTACTATGCTCTTAGACCCAAGTCCAGTATTATGCAAAATGTTGAAAAAAGGCTTCAGTAAAAAAGAAATACTTTTCAAAAGGCAACTGCAAAGAAGTCAAGGAAGGGGTCAGTTACAGTTCTACAGCACCAAGTCACTTCTCTTTAGAAATTAATTTAGAAAAATTTCTTGACAACAGGGAAATTTTTCTACCATTAAGAAATAGACTATTAATCTTTTAAGTGGCAAAAAGGATAAGTAGCTACTTCAGGGCCTTAATTGTTAGACCAGTCCTTGTGCTTATTTATTACCTTGGATTTTCCACCGTTCTTAGCAGGTTGGGTGCTGGAAACATCCTTTTCATCTTTTTTCTAGAGGAAAAAAAAAGGAAATATTAGTCATTATTATTATAAATCTAAGAAATAATCATTGTCCTCAATCAGATTAATTCAGGTTATTCTATTCTGTAATATGATAAATCCCATTTTCGTTATAAATATTAGGGGACTACTTTAATATCTCTGGATATTATATAGAGTTTCTTTATAAAGGAGGTTCAATTTAGAAGACAGTTTTGGGAAATGTTGATAGGTGGGTCATGATGATCAAAATCATGATTCATCTAGAACTAATGTTCATCAAAACAGGGCTAATCTTATATTTGGATTGGTTTTTATGTGTTAACACGGGGGGTAGAAGTATGGAGATTACGGTATTAAAATATTAATTATAACAACAAAAAAACCCAGAGAACTAGGATTGATTCTAAAGAGAGGAATACAATGTACAAACATTCAACTGCGGAAAATAGTTTTGTGAGGAGTTTCCTGGGGTGAGATAACAGAATGCAGTAGCAGGTGAACAATTAAATCTCCCATATTTAGGAGGGATTAGAAGTTCTGTGACTGACAGCTGTGCTCAGTAACAGCTGGATGGGGAGGGGGAGGGGGGGAATGTACTAAATTGAAATCTAGTGTGTTCATTCTGAAAACAAGAAAGAAGGGCACGTTTTCACCCTACCCTTTCTACATGAAATGCCAGGAAGAAACATGGTGGAGTAGAGAAAGCACAGGACTAGTAAGGAGGAGTCCTGTGTTTTAGTCAGAGCACTGCCACTGACTTTTCTTTGTATCCCAACACTGAGTACAATACCTGGAGCATGGTAGGTGCTTAATAAATGTTTATTGACTAACAATTAAAGTAGCAGCTACGTGGTACAGTGGATCGAATACTGGGCCTGGAGTGAGAAAGACCCATCTTCCTGAGTTCAAATCTGGCCTCAGATGCTTACTATATATGTAACCTGGGCAAGTCACTTAACCCTATTTGCGTCAGTTTCCTTATCTGTAAAATGAGCTAGAGAAGAAATGGCAGATCACTGCAATATCTTTGCCAAGAAAACCCCAAATGGGGTCACAAAGAATCAGACACAACTGAACAAACAAAACAAAAACTGCCACTCATCTGCTCTATGATCTTGGGTGAGTCACTTTAAAAATGTTATGGGTACCAATGCAACCCTTGTGCTATCTGTCTTTTACTCCTCACTCTCACCACATGACCCCATGACACAGATGATTTGAAAATCGGGAGGAAAATAATTACTCACTTTTGTCAATTTCTGTGGACCTTCTGGAGATGGAGTCTGGGGACAGTTACCAAACTCTCCTGACAGTGTGTCAATGGGGTCCCCACCATCTGCAGAATTCTGAAATGGAAACTTCTATCAGTAAATAAATATGAAGTATAAAGGTCACTTTCTAACCCCAACAAGAGATAATGAAATCCTTGTAGCAAATTCACTGTTATTCACCATGCTTTTTTAGGTGTTTTTCTTAGTGAGAATGCAGAGCTAGACACGAACTATTTCTGCCATCTTCTTTTCTTCCACATTTTATTTCATAAGCGAGCTCTCCCACAATCCCAGCCAGACTTAAATTCAATAGAGAAATAAAGTACTATAGTTTTTACCTTGGGATCCTTGGGTGGTGGCTTTACTGCATTACCCTTAAAAACAACACACATTGCCCATCAAACACATTCTCACACATGTTCAAATTAGAAGAGTCAACAATTGAAGTACATAAAAAACAAAATGAAAAAACAGTCAACAGTTGAAGAATGTAAAAAAACGCCAAAATCCTGAACCAACAATCCCAGAAATATTGCCCTGGTAACATGGAATCCAGATTGAAAACAATTCATTTCTCTACCTCCCACTCTGTCTGCCATATTGGTTAAAATATGGAAATACCAAAGCAATTATAACCTTGATATGCCTAAAAGAAAGGAAAAAAGTTTCCTAGGACTATAAAATGAAATAATTTCTCTTATTTTGGCTCCTCTGGCAAATTTGTGTGTGTTTTTACAATTCTGCATGACATATTTCAGAAGTCAGCTAAATAGCAATAAGATAACAAGACAAAAACAACAAAAAGCAAAATCAAAAAATTTAAAACCACATATTCATACAGACTGAGTCACTGTGGTAAGTAACAGTTACGTTAAAAACTGTATAAATAAGGTCATGGTTGCTTGTAAGTGTATTAAATCACATTTGCCAAGAGTACCAGCAGTGACCACAGAGGGGCATCAAAGAGCACGTTTTCCATCAGTGCCTCGAGAAACACTGAACACATATTCAAGTATTGCAAAGCCTAACAGGATACTCTGGCTCTGCCACCCGTTCTGTTTACCTCATTGGGCCTCAAATGCATAGCAGATGGGTGTAATTTTATATTTACCCATCTCATGGATCTGCCTGGAAGAGGACAGAATGATTTGTTTTAAAATAAAGGGTCAAGTATAGGCCATTCAGAGGCAAGCCAGTCTGACCTAAAGTCAGGAAAGACTAGGTCAAAAACAGTCCTCTATGTCTGGATCAAAAGACTGACATTTTTTGCTTTCTCAGTGTACATGTATCTGGACAAGAACTGAACACGTCTTCTGATTTTGAATCCTATTTTGCCTAACCTTCTTTTCTCTAACTTTGGATAACAGATTAGAATGCCTGTGGTCCCCCCATCCCCTTTAGACCTTTGACCTCAGAGTTTCTCCCTCTCTGTTGATTTGTTCCCTCTCTGTCCCCCTTTTTTTGGACTGGAAATATTATTTCATTGACATAGTGAGTTCTTAATGAGGAAACTTCCCCCTACCAATGCAGATTTGCAACTTCTGCTTAATAGTGGGATTGTCTCACCAAGTTATCAGGGCCATTGAGAGGTTAAGGGACTTGGCATGTCAAAAGCAGGTGTTGAACCCAGATTTTCCTGATCAAGGGGCCTGTTCTCTGCCTACTCTTAAAATGTGTCTCATTGCCACACTACAACTTGACTAAGGCTGACTGAGATGCCAATTAGTACAGCAGACTCTTTTTCAAGGACACAGAGACGTCACACCTTACATTTGTATACATATTTTTTAAAAAGCACCTCCCTTATACTTTACTAGAAGTTTGGATAAAAATATGAAAATGTCACACTAAATGTGTTATCTTATATTCTGTGGACCCAGAGGAAGACCCTTTACCTGGTCATTGTTATCAAGAAGATGCCTGTAGTCAGGGGGTATGGTGTCATCTCTTTCTCCCAGCTTATCTCTATGTTCAGCTTTAGCTTTTTCCTAGAAATATTGAGCAAAAAAAATCATAATCAATATTAATTCCTTTTTTCATGGAATGCAGCTTGAGTTTCCTAGCATTTATTGCATTTTGGTAAGATGGGGACAAGTGGCTTATTTTTAATTGTTTTAAGCAACTGAAGACAATATCTTCAATTTAACATGGATAAAAATGTTTAATCATCATCTATGGATTTTCTATTTGCATTTGAAAATGTTTATTATGTATCTATTACACGTAACGCACTGAGCTTTAAGCCAAGAGTATTCTATGTACTCAACTCACTTATAATTTCATAAAGGGGATAAGAAATGGGCACAAATGAATTTCAAGAGAAATAAGTGACGAAATATGACCTTTTGCAATTATGATTGAAAGAGAGGCCCAGGGTTATGAAAAGATCAAGCCAAAATTTCAGTTTTCCTAGCTCATTTGAATAATTCTGACATCTGTCACTTTCACTAAGACCCAAGAGCTAACATTCTTGATAGATCACAAAAGAATGATGTGATGTCTTGGCACTGTACAGAGCATATAAAGTGAAGCCTTTAATCTTTGATTCACCCTATCCAGTTATGACAGTGGCTATTTACTGCCACCCAGGCCACTCTCCCTTCTTCAAGGAGTTTCACAATCTTGCCCTTTGCCTAAACCCCAGATCTTATACATGGGGAACTTCAATACTCTGGTTTCCTACCCAATTCCTCAACTCCCATGACTCATACCTTCACTCCACCTTAGCCACACAAAAGGAATTACCCCAATATAGTTTGTTTTGACAGTCAAGAACTCTGACATTCTTCTCTCTGGTCATTCCCTCCTATCTTTACATTTTTTTTTGTGCCTCACCCCTCCCACACCCATTTCTTATCCTCAGCATGCCCTCTGTTTACTCTACCTTTGCTTATTCTCCTAAGTCCTCATTCCTGCTTTGGCCTTATTTTCTTTCCTTCCTAATGTTGATCCAATAATAAACTAGTTCAGTTATATACTGCACCCAACTCTTGAATCTCTTATCTCCTTGGTCTACAGCTGCTCATGCCTTGCTATGCCCCAGCCTAGACTGCCCCCCGCCCCCCAGGAACTTTATTCACGTGCTGCAGAACAGCCCTGACTGGGTCCACATCAAATTTTGAATTATCTTGTCTTAGCTGGGCTCTCTTTGCTGCACAGCACTCAGCTATCAATGTGATATTCCTAAAAAACAGGTCTATGTCATCCCCGCCTCAATAAACTCCAGGGGCTCCCTACTACTTCTAGGATCAAATATAAAATCTTCTCTTTGGTGTTCAAAGATCCTCATAACCTGCCACCTCCCTACCTTTCCAGTCTTCTTACACCTTATACCTCCCATGTACTCTGAAATCCAGTGACACTCGCCTCTTTGTTGTTCCCTGCACAAGATGCTGCATCTCCCAATTCTGGGCATTTTCTCTGGCTGTCCCCCATGCTCTCCTCATTTTCACTTTGTGGTTTCCCTGGCTTCCTTTAAATCCCAGCTGAAAACCCACCTTCCACAGGAAGCCTTGCCAGATCCCCCTTGATTCTAGTGCCTTCTCTCTGTTGATGATTTCCACCTTAGCCTGTATAGATACAGGCTAGTTGATTCATAATTGTTTGCATTTGTTTCTCCAATTAAGCTGTGAGTTCATTGAGAGCAGGGACTTTTTGCCTTTCTTTGTATTCTCAGTTCTTAGCATAATGCCAGGCCCCATAGTAGGCACTTAACGTTTATTGACTGATAATGCTTCCTTGTCTCTTTACTGTACTCCTCATGATGGCCTTCCAGACCTCTCCTTCATTCTTCAAACCTCTTACATTCTCCTCCTGCCCTCAGCAAAAGACTTCTTTGCTCCAGTTTCAGAAAACAAGGTGGGGCCTCTCCTTGTTCGAGACAACCCTCTCTATCTGTGCCCCTAATGCCATGCCAGAGTGTGTGTTCTCTTTTTTGTTCTCATTCTTATTATCTCCCTCTTCCCCTTCCCTCCCTCTTTTTTAATCTCTCTCACTGTCTACTGGGCCCTTAACTTTTGCCTTTAACAATGTTCAAGTCTCCCTGATCCTTAAAACAAAGCTTCACTTTTGTCCCACCATCCCATATCTCTCCTTTTCCCAGTCAAACTCCTAGAAAAAGCAGTCTATGCCCACTGCCTACATTTCCTCTCCTTCATTAGCTTAATGGAATCAGTGTTAGAGCTGGAATCACAGTGTTAGAGCTGGAAAGGACTCGGGCAGTTATCTAGTCTAACCCAAACATGAAGCAACCCCCTCCTATAATATTCAAACTGTGGTCCATGCAGCCTCTGCTTAGAGATTTCCAAAGAGAGGGAACCCATCACCTCTGGAGGGAAGTCATTCCACTTTTGGATACTTCCAATAGGTAGCTTTTCCTGACACAAAGCCTCAGTTTGCCTCTTGGTAACTTCCAGCCTGTACTCTGGGGCTGAGCGGAACATGTCCAATCCCTTCTCCATGTAACAGCCCTTTAAATACTTCAAGGCAGGTATCATCTCTCTGTCCACCCCTGGAGTAGGCTTTTTTCTCCAGCTAAACTTGTCTAGTTCCTTTAACCAATTCTCATATGTCTTGAACTCAAGGCCCTTCACTGTCCCAGACATCCTCCAGCTTGTCAATAGTTTTTTTAGACCCTGGTGCCCAGAACTGAACCTCCAGTTCTAGCAAGATTATCACCTCCCTATTCCTAGAAGTTAAGCTCCTCCTAAGGCTGTACATCCAATTGATATTGAGTTTCCAGGCCAGTGAAACCCTCAGATTCTTTTCAAAACAACTGCTGTCTATCTGAATGTCCTCCACCCTATGTTTGTGTGGTTGATTTTTGTAACCAACTGCAAGCCTTTACATTTATCCCTATTGAATTTCATCTAATAAGATTTACCTCAATGTTCTAACCTGTCAATACATTTTTTGATCCTGATTCCGTCATTTAATATGTTAGGAGGTAAGGGAATAAGCATTTATAAAGTACCTACTATGTGCCAGGTACTATACTAAGCATTGTAGAAATAGTATCTCATTTAATGTTAGTTATCTTTTCCAGCTTTGGGTCATCTGAAAATCTGATGAGTCTACTATCAACGCCTTTATCTAAACCAGAGGTTTCCAAACTTATTTGGCCAACTGCCCCCTTAAAAAAAATTACTCAGCTCCCTCCCTCCCCTGGAAATCTGTTTTCTCTAATTCTTTAACGTTCTTTTCTAAATTTTTATCATTTCAAAAATATATAAATTTTAAAAAATGATACATCTTAAATTTAATAATTTATTGTAAATTTGTGGATTTTTTCTTGCATTGAAATTTTGATGACACAATATTGCATCATGTGACCCTATATAGTATCATATTGTAAACAAGTCATTACATGCACATATTCTTGCTGATGTATGTTGGACTTCCGACATGCTTGCCTGCCAATACTTGCTTGTTAAGACCTGTTGGCAGACTTGACCATTTATTGATTATTACCTGCATTTTGTGTGTTTATTTGGAAAATAATGTAATCACCATGACTTTAACTCTGTTACACAACAGACAAAACATGTACAAAGTTTTTCAAAATTTTCTTTTCTTCTCTTCTTTCCTTATGCTTCCAATGCCCCCTTATTTTTATTCAACACCCCCAATTGCACCCGAGGCTACTACCACCTCCCTGGATCATTCCCATGCCCCCTAGGGGGCAGTATCGCCCACTTTGGGAACCTATGAAACCATTGATTAATATGTTAAACAGCACAGGACCAACCAAATTCAGGCACCTGGGGAACTTTTAACACCAAACAATCCTCTTTGAGTATGGTCATCAGCCTGTCCTGAATCCATATGATTATATTATTGTCTAATCCATGTCTCTCCATGTTCTTCACAAGAATAGTAGGTGATCCTTTCTCAAAACCCTTGCTAAAATCTAGGTAATCTACATCCTCAGCATTCCCCTTATCAGTGTACTAATCCTGTCAGAACAGGAAATTATTTGTTCTTGATGAATTCAGGCTAACTCTCTGTAATAATCACTGCTTGTTTTTGCAGATGCTCACTAACCATCTATCTCTTTAATAATATATTCTAGAATTTTCCCAACAAACTCACTGGACTTAATTTACTTAAAAAAAAAATCTATAGTATAATATGACAGGCACTATTGGTAGATAAAATGAATAAAATTCAAAATGGACAGAGTATAATTGAAGGACATGTTAATTTGTCCCCCTATAATTAGAGGGCATTTCTAAGTGATTGGAATCTGGCAGCATTTGGGAATTGAGCCATACTTACAGGTTAGAAGATAAAATTATACTACTTTATTTCTTATATGGAAAAGAATCTCCAGACTGTACGAATGATTTTGCACTCAGCATATTTCATAAATTCTTTGTCCTTTTTTGGAGTAGCTGTTATATCACATTATAAGTATCCATTTTATTTTATTCTCTTACCTTTACTTTATCCTCCATCGGCTTATTCTCATCAGGGTCTGGCTCTTTTTCTCCAAGGGATTGAGAGAGTTGATCATATGCATCATCAAGCCCCTGATCTTTTTGCTAAAGAGTGAAAACAAAAACTCCACATTAACTATAACTATACCAAAGATGGGCAGCCCAACACAGAGATGCTGGACTTTTTTCCTACGCAAACCTACTTATCTTCAGAGTAAACGACTAAAGGGCTCAGTGGATAGAATGCTGGGCCAGGAGTCGAAAAGACTTGAATTCAAATCCAGCCCCAGACACTTACTACCTGTTACTCTGAGAAAATCATTTAACCTCTGTTTATCTCAGTTTCCTCTATTGTAAAATGGTCATGATAATAGTACCTACCTCCTGGGGTTGTTGTGAGGACCAAATGAGATATTATTTGTAAAGCACTTAGTGGAGTACCTGGTACACAGTAGGCACTTTATAAATGCTTATTCACCTCCTCCTTCCCCTCCCCTTACCTCAACCAGACACTTGGACATAGTGGAACACAGTAACGGGGAGCAAGGGAAGATATAAAACACTGTGTGCTGACAATGGACAGCAGCACCCTCATGGCCTCCCTTGGGGACATATCATGGGTTCCTGCCAATAGCATCTTCCTTTCCAAAATGCTCCTGAGCCATATTGGGAGAGTGTGACATCACAATCCATTAAATAAGGCTTAGAGAACATCTAGTTGGGTTAACTGTGCTCATTTTATTGCATAATTAAAAAGGCAATTATAAAGATGGATATGAAAACTTTTCAGTACTTCAGTACTTTTTCATCAAAATTCAATCTGACAAACATTTATTACATGTTTACAGGTACTGTGTCAAGTGCTAGGGAGATGGACAAAATGAACATTTTTCTACCCTCAGGGAGCCTAAAGTCTACTAGGAGATAGATGTATAAATACACAACTATTTTAAAAGATTAGCAGGAGGGGAAGAAGAAAGGATTGAGGGATTAAGAAGAACCCTAAGTAGGAAACAGAAGCACAGCTGAGCCTCATAAGAAGTACTAAAGATTTTAAGAGGCAGAGATTAAGAGAGAGAGCACTGTAGGCATGGAGAGACCCCCTAAGCAATGGCATTGAGACTTAAGATGAAATGCCAGTTTGGGGAATTTGACTAGGTTGGCTGAATATAAAGTGCATGAAAAGGAGTAAAATGAAATAAGGTTAGAAAGCTAAGTGGGGCACTGTTGGTGGAGTTGTGAACTGAACCAACCATTCTGGATATCAATTTGGAACTATGCCCAAAAGACTATAAATTTGTGTGTACCTCTTGACCCAACAATAGCAGTACTAGGTCTATATCCCAAAGAGATCAAAGGAAAAAGAAAAGGACCTATTTGTACAAAAATATTTATATCAGCTCTTTTTGTGGTGGCTTATAATTGGAAATTGAGGGGATACCCATCAATTGGGAATGACTGAACAAGTTGTGGTATGTGATTATTATGGAATACTACTGAGCTATAAGAAATGATGAACAGGATACCTTCAGAAAAAGTTGGACTTACATGAATTGATGCAAAGTGAAGTGAGCAGAACCTAGAGAACCTTGTACATGGTAATAGCAATATCCTACAATGATCAACTGTGAATGACTTAACTATTCTCAGCAATACAATGACATAAGACAATTCTAAAGGACTCATAAAAAATGCTATCCATCTCTAGAGAAAGAACTGATAGAGTCTAAACGCAGATTGAAGCATTCTATTTTTCACTTTCTATATTTTTTTGTGTTGTTATTGGGTATTTTTTGATCTGTTTTCTTCCACAACATGACTAATATGGAAATAGGGGTATGGGGATGTTCAGGGAAGACTAGCACCTCTGGTGTGAGGGCTTGCTGAGCCCTTTTCAGGGCTGCTTAACTACCTTTGGTGTCCATCTTCACCCAACTCTCACCTGTGGTTCCAAGAAGCTATAGCATGTGCATGGGCTAAAATAGGTTGAGGGCAACCAACAGACCTCAAACCTGTCAGTGAGTTAGGGGAATGTCTACCCCAAGCATGTGAAGACCTCTCCTGGTGGAATGAGTTAATGAGACCAATTTGTTCCAATGGCCATGAAGGCAGCTGAATCAGGTGCTATGGAATGCTTAGAGCTTGGTTAAGCATTGAAGATGTTAAGATCATCCACTGCTTCCTGGGCCATCACCAGTCATCCTGACTTTTGTCCTGCCACTGGACTTTGATGACTCAGAAAGAGGGATTAAGAGCTGATGACTTTGTGTGACTCTGTCTCACTTAAATTCAATTCACATGATAAGACCCTGTGATGTCATTGGTCCCCTTTGAAAATGAAGAATGAACAAAAAAAATGGGAATTTGTTTGACATGATTGCATATGTACAGCCCATATCAAATTGCTTGTAGTCTTAGGGAAGTGGGAGAAGAGGAAGGGAGGGAGAAAATTTAGAACTCAAAATCTAAAAAAAAATGTTAAAAATTGTTTTTACATGTAATTGGGAAAAAATAAAATTTTTTTTTAAAAAGATAGGTACATGGGAGCCAAATTATGTAGGGCTTCAAATGCCAAGTTGTATTTTATTCTAGAGGCAATAGGGAGTCGCTAAAAATTTTCGAGTAGTTGAGGGACTGTGCTTTGAGAAGATTTTGGAAACCATATGGATGATGTAATGGATAAGAGAAAGATGAAGAAGTAGAGACTATTGTAATAGTCTCAGTAAGGGTGATGAGAGCCTGAACAAGGTGTCAGCTAAACTAATTGTGAGGAGGCAGATGAGATTTTTGCGGAGGTCTAACTGGCAAGACTTGGCAACTGACCAGAGGGAGAAAGGAGAGTCAAGAAAGACTTCTGGGGGAAGCCATGTTGTGATCCTGGGAAGATGGCAGCACAGAAAGCAGAAACAGGAAAGTCTAGATGAAAAGCAGGTTTAGAGACTGACATCTGTTTTGGACTTGATGAATTTGCGATGCCTGTGGGACATCTAAGGTAGAAGTGTCATGGAAGTTGCTGATGCAAGATTGGAATTCAGAAGGGAAATGAAGCCTGGATAGGTAGATTTGGGAGTCATCTTCATGAGAGGAACACAAGTGGAGCTCACATCACTATTACATTTGCAATTTCTGAGCACACCCCAAGGTCGGATTTTAAAGGGTACACTTTAATCTGTATGATATGCATGTTGTCTCCCTCATTAGAAGATGAAATCTTGAAGACGGGGACTGTCTTCAGCCTTCTTTCTTTGTACCATCAATCCTCAACTTTCGTGAGGGTAACTTTCCTAGAAAACAGCATCAAAGTAGAAAATGCAAATGTTGTTATATTGAACCTATGGGAAATGTAGGGTTAGGTTCCAGTGACCACCCCAAACTGTAATCTTTTGCTAGAGATTGCTGAAAATACACTTTTCTGCATGCAATTCTTTGTAACAAAACCTTTAAAATGAGAGGGTTGGATTCAGTGGCCTCTAAGTGCCCTTCCAGCTCTAAATCTACAATCCTATGAATTGAGTCCCCAAATCCAGAACTATCACCTATGCTTTGATGCAATGTCAAAAAGAAAAGAAATGCAGGTGACACTACTTTTTCCCAGTTCTAGGAAAAGCAACCACCACCACTGGATCAGAGGAGTAAAATGCATTATCTAAGAAGTGAAAGCAGATCGAAGTCCAAAAATTCTCTGTGCACCACCCAGGACGGGCTAAAAAGGACATTACATATGGGAGCCTATTACAACAAGTGCTCTCTGTCATCTTAATAAGTAACCAGCCTTAGCAATCCAGAATAGGTAGACCGTTGATCTTTTTAACACATTAACTGGTAGGCTTCTTGTTCCCCTCTTTGGGAAAGATTTTTGTTGAGAAAACAAATCAAACCAGCTAGTACTTACTGAGGCATCAGGTGGACTTGCAGAGCCCGTTGTAGGTGCTGGTGTGGGGTCAGCCATCACAGCGGCCTCAGTAGAATGTTTCTCATCTTTGGATTTCTAAAGGGGTCAAGCATAGTCAAAAGGTTACTGCTAAAGGAACCTGGTTACAGGAAATTAAAAAGCCGATGGAGATCGTATTATTTTAAAAAATATTTATTTTCCTCCCAATTACGTGTTAAAACAATTTCAACATTATTTTTTAAATTTTGAGTTCCAAATTCTATCTTTCTCTCTCTCCTTCTCTCTTCATCCCCTTCTCTAAGACAGTAAGCAATCCAGTATAGCTTATACACGTGTAATCTTGTAAAACATTACAATATTATTCATTTTGTACAATTTTCAAACAACAAAAAGAAAGTGAAAAATAGTATGCATCAGTCTGTATTCAGATAATATAACTTCTTTCTCCGGAGGCAAATAGCATGTTTCATCATGAGTCCTTTAGGTTGTCTTGGATCACTGTATTGCTGAGAATAACTGAGGCATCCACAATACTGAGTACAATGTTCTCTTGGTTTTGCTCGCTTCACTTTGCATTAGTTCATGTAAGTCTTTTCAGATTTTTCTGAAATCATCCTGCTCATCATTTCTTATAACACAAATAATATTCCATTACAATCATATACCACAGCTTGTTTAGCCATTCCCTAATTGATGGGCATCCCCTTGATTTCCAATTATTAGCCACCACAAAAAGAGCTGCCATAAATATTTTTGTACAAATAGGTCCTTTTCCTTTTCCTTTGATCTCTTTGGGATATAGACCTAGTACTGCTATTGTTGGGTCAAGAGGTACACACAGATTTATAGTCTTTTGGGCATAGTTCCAAATTGATCTCCAGCATGGTTGGATCAGTTCACAACTCCACCAACAGTGCATTAGTGTCTCAGTTTTCCTACTTCCCCTCCAACATTTATAATTTTCCTTTTTTGTTACATTAACCAATCTGATAGGTAAGAGATGGTATCTCATAGTAGTTTTGATTTGCATTTCTCTAATCCATAGTGATTTAAAGCATTTTTTCATATGAATATAGACAGCTTTGATTTCTTTGTCTTCAAACTTCATGTTCATATCCTTTGACCATTTATCAATTGGGGAATGATTTGTATTCTTATAAATTTGACTCAGTTCCCTGTATATTTTAGAAATGAGGCCTTTATCAGAAATACTTGTTGCAAATCACCCCCACCAGTTTTATGCTTTCCTTTTAATTTTGGTTGCATTGGTTTTGATTATGCAAAAACTTAAAAATTCTATATGATCAAAATTATCTATTTTACATTTTGTAATGCTCTCTATATCTTTGTTTGGTCCTAATTTTTTCCTTTATCCATAGATCTGATAGCTAAACTATTCCATGCTCTCCTAATTTCCTTATATCTAAATCTCATTCCCATTTTCATTATCTTGGTATATGGTGTGAAATATTGGTCTATACCTAGTTTCTGGCATATTGTTTTCCATTTTTTCCAGTTTTTGTCAGATAACGAGTTTTTGTTCCAAAGGCTTGGATCTTTGGGTTTATCATATTCTAGATATGGCCATTTATTATAATGTATTATGTACCTAATTACATTGATTATTATTATATTTCTAAGCCAGTACAGATAGTTTTGATAATTACTGCTTTATAATACAGTTTGAGATCTAGTAGAGATAGACCACTTTCCTTCATTTTTTTTCATTGACTCCCTTGATATCCTTGACCTTTTGTTCTTCCAGATGAATTTTATTTTTTTTTAGCACTATAAAATATTTTTGGTAGTTTGATTGATGGCATGGAATAAATAGATTAATTTAAGTAGAATTATCCTTTTTTTACATTGGCTCAGCCTACCCATGACCAATTAATATTTTTCCAATTGTTTATATCTAACTTTATTTATGTGAAGAGTGTTTTGTAATTGTGGTCACATAATTCCTGGGTTTGTCTTGTCAGGAAGACTCCCAAGTATTTTATATTGTCCATAGTTATTTTAAATAGAGCTTATCTTTCTATATCTTGCTGCTAGACTTTGTTGGTCATATAAAGAAATGCTGATGATTTATGTGTGTTTTATGTGCTAAAGTTGTTAATTATTTCAAGTGGTTTTTTAGTTGATTCTCTAGGGTTCTCTAAGTATACCATCATATCATTTGCAAAGAGTGATAATTTCGTTTCCTCATTGCCTATCAGAATTCCTTCAATTTCTTTTTCTTCTCTTATTGCTAAAGCTAATATTTCTAGAACAATATTGAATAATAGAGGTGATAATGGGCACCTTGCTTCACCCCTGATTGTATTGAAAAGGCTTCTAATTTATCCCCATTACAAATAATGCTTGCTAATGGTTTTAGATAATTAAGGTAAGCTTCATTTGTTCCTATGCACTCTAGTGTTTTTAATAGGAATGAGTGGTGTATTTTGTCAAAGGCTTTTTCTGCATCTATTGAGATAATCAAATGATTTCTGTTGACTTTGTTATTGATATGGTCAACTATGCTGATACTTTTCCTAATATTGAACTAGCCCTGCATTCCTGGCATAAATCCCATCTAGTCATAGTGTATGATCCTTGTGATATATTGCTATAATCTCCTTGCTAGTATTTTATTTAAAATCTTTGCTTCAATATTCATTAGGGAAATTGGTCTACAATTTTCTTCCTCTATTTTGGCTCTTCCTGGTTTATGTATTTGATATGATTTGATATTATTTGATATGACCTATTTGTATCATAAAAAGTATTTGGTAAGACTCCATCTTCACCTATTTTTCCAAGTAGTTTATATATAGTATTAGAATCGTTCTTCAAATGTTTGGCACAATTCACTTGTGAATCCATCTGGCCCTGGGGATTTTTCTTAGGAAGTTCCTCGATAGGTTGTTTGATTTCTTTTCCTAAGATTGGGTTATTTAAGTATTCCATTTTTCCTGTTACTTTAGGTAATTATATTTTTGTAGATATTCATCCATTTCATTTAGATTGTCAAATTTATCAGCATATAATTAAGCAAAATAACTACTACTAACTATTTTAATTTCCTCTTCATTGGTGGTGAAGTTACCCTTTTCATTTGTGATTCTGGTACTTTGGTTTTCTTCTTTCCTATTCTAAATTAAATTAACCAATGATTTATCTAGTTTATTTTTTTCCCATAAAACCAGCTTCTAGTTTTACTTGTTAGTTCGATGTTTTTCTTCTTTTCAATTTTATTAATTTCTCCTTTGATTTTCAGCATTTCTAATTTGGTGTTTAATTGGGGATTTTTAATTTGTTTTTTTTTCTAGCTTTTTCAGTTGCACGTCCAATTCATTGAACTTCTCTTTCTCTATTTTATTTATGTAAGCAATTAGAGATAATAAATTTTCTCTTAAGTACTGCTTTGGCTGCATCCCATAAATTTTGATATGTTGTCTCAGTGTTGTCATTTTCTTTAATGAAATTATTGTTTGTTTCTATGATTTGTCCTTTGACTCTTTTTTTAAAATTTAGTTTCCAATTAATTTTTTTTGGGCTAGGCAATGGGGTTAAGTGACTTGCCCAGGGTCACACAGTTAGTAACTGTTATGTGTCTGAGGCTGGATTTGAACTCAGGTCTTCCTGAATCCAGGGTTGGTGCTCTATCCACTGTGCAACCTAGCCCCTCCAATTAATTTTTAATCTACTTTTCCACTATTGAATGTCATTTTTATTGCATTATGTTCTGAAAAGGATGAATTTACTATTTCTGCTTTTCTGCATTTGTTTACAAGGTTTTTATGCCCTAATACATGACCATTTTTGTGTGGGTGTCATGTACAGCTGAGAAAAAGGTATATTCCTTTCTATTCCTATTCAATTTTCTCCAGAGATCTATCATATCTAACTTTTCCAGAATTCTATTCATTTCTTTAACTTCTTGTTTATTTTTCGGTTAGATTTATCTAGTTTTGAGAAGGGACAGTTGAGGTCTCTCACTAGTGTAGTTTTATATTATCTGTTTTCTCCTGTAACTCATTCAACTTCTTCTTTAAAAATTTAGATCTATATCATTTGGTGCATATATGTTTAGTATTGATAAGTCTATGGTACCTTTCAGTAAGATACAGTTTCCTTCCTTATCTTTTTAAATTAGATCTGTTTTTGCTTTTGCTTTGTCTGAGATCATGATAGCTACCCTTTTTTTCTTTGCTTTAACTGAAACATAATGGATTCTACTCCAGCCCCTTATCTTAAATCTGTGTGTGTCTCTCTCTGCTTTAGTTGTGTTTGTTGTAAACAACCTATTGCAGGATTCTGGTTTTTAATCCATTCTGCGATCACAGGCCTGTACAACCTGTGGCATGCCAAAGGATTTCCTGTGGCCTGCTAAAAAACGTACAGGAAAACATCCTTTGTATGTAAAGGAAATCCTTAGGCATGCTGCAAGCAGCCTGAGGGCTATAAGCACCCTGCAGGTACAGGTTGTGCAGACCTGTACTATCTGTTTCTGTTTTATGGGTGAATTCACATTTATAGTTATGATAACTGTGTATCTCCCTCCATGCTATTTTCCCCTTGTTTATCCTTCTCTCTCTCTCACCTTCATGCTGTGTTTTACATCTGATCACTGCCTCTCCCAATCTGCCCTCCCTTTTATAAGTCTTCCACACACATACCTTCTCTTATCCCCATCCCTTTTTACTTACTTATAGGGTAAGATAGGTTTCTGTATCCAATTGAGCCAATTTTGTTGAGAGTAAGGTTCAAGCTTTGTCCATCCCACCCCCATCTTCTCCTCCATTATAATAGTTCATTCATGTCTTTTCATGTGAGATAATTTACCCCATTCTTTCTCCCCCTTCGTTCTTCTCCCAGTGCAATCTTCTTTCTCACCCCTTTATTTTGTTTTTTGGGTATCATCCCATCAAAGTCATCTTATATCCAGATACTCTATCCATATGTACTTCCTCTAATTGCCCTTATAATAATAAAGTTCTTAAGAGTTATAAATATTATCTTGTTATATAGGAATACAAACAGTTTAACCTTATTGAGTCTTTTATGTTTTCTCTTTCTTGTTTCTTTTTACATTTTTATGTTCCCTTTGTGTCTTTGGTATTTGTAGATCATTTTTTTTTTTTACTTAGCTCTATTCTTTTAATTAGGAATGCTTGAAAGTCCTCTGTTTCATTAAATATCCATTTTTTCCCCTGAAGGATTATACTCAGTTTTGCTAGATATGTGATTCTTGGTTATAATCCTAACTCTTTTGCCTTCTGGAATGTCATATTCCAAGCCCTCTGGTTTTTCAATGTGGAAGGTGCCAAATCCTGTGTAACCCTAATTGTAGTTCTACAATATTTGTATTGTTTCTTTTTGGCTGCTTGCCGTACTTTCTCCTTGACCTAAGAGCGCTAGAATTTGACTATGATGTTCCTGGGAGTTTTCATTTTGGGATCTCTTTCAGGTGGTGATTGGTGAATTCTTCTAATTTCTAGTTTGCCCTCTGGTTGTAGGCTATCAGGGCAGTTTTCCTTAATAATTAATAATAATAATAATAATTTCCTTAATACTAATGTTGTCCAGGCTTTTCTTTTTTTTTTAATTGTAACTTTCAGATAGTCTAATAATTCTTAAATTATCTCTCCTGGATCTATTTTCCAGATCAGCTGTTTTTTCCAGTGAGAAATTTCACACTTTCTTCCATTTTTTTCTTCTTTTGATTTTGTTTCATCATACCTTGATGCCTCATGGAAATGTTAGCTTCCACTCGACCAATTCTAATTTTTGAGGAATTATTTTCTTCAGTGAGCTTTTGTGCCTCCTTTTCCATTTGACCAGTTCTATTCTTTAAGGTATTATTTTCTTTGGTGAATTTTCGTATTTTTTTCCCATGCTATTGATTTTTTCCCCACAATTCTCTTGCACTACTCTCAATTCTTTTCCCAATTTTTCTTCTAATTCTCTAATTTGCTTTTAAAAATCCTTTTAAAGCTCTTCTAGGGGCTCATTTTGGGCCTGAGATCAAATTACATTTTTCTTTGAGGCTTCACATGTAGCCAGTTTGACACTTTTGCTCCTCTAAGTTTGTGTCTTAATCCTTCCTGTCACCACAGTAACTTTCTATAGTCACATTCTTTTTTTTTCTTGTCATTGTTTTGGTCATTTTTTTCTGCCTGTCTAGTGACTTGGTACTTTTATGTGAGAGCTGGGCCCTGCTCCTGCAGCATCCCAGGCTTCTTGTGCTGGGGCTGGAAGTCTTGCTTTCACTGGGCCTCAGGGCCTAGCTTCTGGCTAGTAGGTGGAGCCTCCCAGCTAGCTTGTAAGGTGGTACAGGGTAGGGCCTTCTTGTTGGCCTTTCCTAGGTGTGGAGATTGCTGCTGGCCTGCCCCAGGGGCAGGGGCCTGGCTGCTGGGTTGCTATGGAAACAGGGCCTATTGCTGACTGGCCCTGGGGTAAGCATTTTTGCTGTTGGCCTGGAAGGTGGGGGAGGTGTGGGGAGTGGGGGGGTTATCACACTGTTGACTGGTCCCTGGGTGGGGCCTCACTACTGGTCAACAAGGGCGTGAGGCCTCACTGGTGGCTTGGGCAGGGGGTGGGGCCTTGCCATGCTACAGATTGCTGCTTGCCTGGGGAGGTCGCTGGCTTGCAGGGGGGCGGGGCCTCGCTGGTGTCTTGGGCGGGGGGGGGGGCTTGCAGGAGGGCGGGGCCTCGCTGGTGGTCTGCCACAGGCCCAGCGCTTCCTTGCAGGCCACCTGCTGTGAGGCTGGCTGCTGCTGCTCTGGGACTGGCTTGCTTCTCACCCTGGTGAGACAGACCTTTCCTGCCAAGCCACTTCCCTGCTCCTAGATCAGTTCTGAGGTGGTTTTCCAGTTGTTTGGAGGGGAGTTTGGGAGGGCTGCGGGGCATTCCTTCCTCAATCTGCCATCCTGGCACCGGAAGTCCTTCCTCACGTTGTTGAATATATTTCTCACATTCATCCCTTTCTCTCCCAGCCCTCATCACTTCTCATCTGGGTTTCTGAAAATGCTTCCTGATTGGGCTCCATGCCCCAGTCTCTTCCCCTCATCAGTCCACTCTCCAAAAAGGTTGCCAAAATAATATTCCTAAGTACCAGTCTAACCATGTCACTCTCCACCTCAATAAACTTCAATGGCTACCTACTGTACAAGCTTCTCTGTTGGGCATTTACAAACCACCTCTGATCTGTTTCTCCAGGATTATACACTCCTTGGGAATGGTGGGGAACTGCCGGCTCGAGGCCACACGTGGCCTCAAAGCCACAGGTTCCCTACCCCTAGAGCCAAACTGGCCTTCTGGCTTTTCATCACATGCCACGGCATCTCTGGATGCATGCCTTTGGGCAGGCTGTGAGCACTGGCACCCTTCACCCCCATGCCATGCCTGGAATGCTCTCCCTCCTACCCCCGAATCCTCAAATCTCTAGTTTCTTCAAATGCCCCCTTCTACAAGAGGCTTTTATCAATCCCCCAGTTGGAGAAGGTCCCTTCCATATTCCCACCTACCTTGTATTTTGAATATACTTTTATGTGTATGCGATACCTTCTCGGACAATGTATAAGCTCTTTTATGACAGGGGCTGTCCGGTTTTCATTTCTCTACGCCTGCTGCTTAGCACAGTTCTTAGCAGACAATGGGTACTTAATAATTGCTTGTTGATTGGTGGATAATGGATAATTCCAATAATATACAGACATCGCCACACATAAAATTAATCCTATATTCTGCTATTTCTAAATATGACCTATAGGATATATACCTCTGTGATCTGGTCCTATTTTTAAAAATTGATTAAGACTAGAAGAAGGTAATAGAATAAGATGACCATGCTATTTACTGAGTTCACTTTTTTTAGGAGATTGTGAGAATTACTCCCTGGTTAGTAATTCCTGAGAGTCAGAAAGATGTATGACAGTGTTAACAACAGTTATGTTACCATACCCTATAATATTCACACTTGTCTTACCCAGTTTTAATGAAGACTTCAGGCAAACTTGGAACAATCATTACTCAGTCGACAATCATTTCTTACCAGATGGTTACTCTACCTTTGCCACGTTTCCATCTAATGGAGTATTATGTTTATATGTCACATTACCAAGGCCTGCCTGGTCTTACAGAGCCTTCAAACTGCTCAGCCATACACACACAATCACAGGAGTATTCACTGGTAAATGTATTCTTTGGGAATGATCTTCGGTAAAATGCAAATATAAACTTCTCCCAATGATCTCAGCATCCTTCATGATAAAGGATTCATATTTATCTCAACCATTTAGAGTAGGGTTTCTTAAATTTTGTGTGTGTTGTGGACCCCTCTGGCAGACAACCTGGTGAGACCTGTGAACCCCAACTCAGAATGTTATAAATATATAAAATATCTACAGAAACCAATTATACTGAAATATAGTTATCAAAATATTTTTAAAAACCAAGTTAAGCTCTCCTGATTTAGAATAACAGATCATCAGTGAGACTGGGCCAAAATTTTACAGTACACAGTTTTGTTTTTTTTTTTTAATGGAAGATTTTATTCTTTTCCTCTTTTCTTGGCAAATCTCTGAGCCCAGAATTATTCCCTCTGACCCAAAATATCAAGAGGTTTAGTTGGAAACTCAAGTTAAAGGTCACAGACCTCTGCACTAAAAGTAAAGAAGTAAAAAAGAAGTTGAAAAACTCACTTGTGCTACAGATACGGCCGCATGGGTTACAGGTGCTTCCGAGCATGAAAAGCCCTCCGACAAAGCATCGAGGATATCATTGTCACTCATAGGCTGCAGAAATCAGGAAATGAATCCACAAAGGTCACAGGTCATTGTGATGAACTCCCCAAGCTAGTCTAATAATGCAGATGTAATTCAAAGTACGAAACAAAAGCTGGGCCAACTCTTGTTATCACCAGGCTCATTCCTGTCTTGACCCAGACAAATTAATTTACTTACTAAAATTTTTTCATTCTGTTTTTTGTCAAGCAGTTTTCTATCTTCATCCTATAGTAAAAACATTGAAGAAAGTCATTTTTGCATTTTTAGCACTAGCATGAAATTTCATAAGCTTTCCAGTAATTCCATACTGATTTTAATGCTCATTAGAAAGTCAGTTAGTCAATAAACATTTATTAAGTATCACTATGTACCAGGCACTATATAAAGAGCTGGGATACAAAAAGAAGCACAAGACAATCCCTGCCCTCAAGGAACTTACAGTCTAACAGAGAAGACAATAGTTAAACAAATATACTCCGATCTATACAGAATAAATAGGAAATAGTTAAAAGTGGGAAGGCACTAGGATTAAGAAGAGTTGGAAAAGGCTTCCCATAGAAGATGGGATTTTAGTTGGGACTTATAGAAAGCCAGGGAGGTCAGTAGGAGGAGATGAGAAGGGAGAGAATTCCAAATATGGGGAGACAGCCAGAGAAAATGTCAAGAGCTGAGAGATGGAGTGTCTTAGTGGAACAGCTCGAAGGCCAGTGTGACCAGATCAAATTGTACCTGGCAAGAAGTAAGATGTAAGAAATCTGGAAAGGTAGGAGGGGCTAAGTATGAAGGGCTTTGAATGCCAAACAAAACATTTTGTATTTGATCCTGGAGGCAATAGGGAGCCACTGGATTTATTGAATGGTGTGTGTGTGAGAGAGAGATAGATACAGACAGACAGACAGACGTGATTAGACCTATGCTTTAGGAAAATCATTAGAAATATGAACCACCAGTTTTGGAAATAAGTCCTTCAGAAGGAAAGTAATGATCATAGGAGACTTGGAGGGGGGGTTGGAGAGTAGTGTAGGGGGAAGGAGTCAGTTTAAAAAAATTCTCTCTACCTTTAGTACCCTCAATTCTTGGTCTCACTTTATGTTTTGCTTAAAAAGCACTGGAGACTTGTTCAGGGCCTCCTGCATACCCCAGGTCCAGTACGACAACTCAAGAAAACAGGTTTTAAGTCGGCTTCAGGGCAACAGAACTAGCCTTGGGATTTGATCAGCTAAGAGGATGAAAGACACTACTGCTGACATCATTTTCTGACTTTCTGAGTATATAAAAAGGCAGAAGAAAGTTCAACCCTTCTTTAGTGCTTAGCTGGAGACCTACGGGGCTCAATTGAATCCACTCAATGTCCTCAATGTATGCAGATACACACACATATATTCATACATCTGTCTATCTATCCATCTATCCATCTATCTATTGTCATATCTATTTGTCTATTTCCTTGTCCCCAATTAAGTAAATCTCCTTTTGTTAACTGTTAAATAACCTATAAGTTTTCAGTTTTATTCCAATATTGGAGCCAGAACAAGGCTACAACATAGGAGAACCCCAACTTCTCTTAGAGTGTTAAAATCAAATTTGAAAATCATTTTGAGGCTAAGAAATCATAGACTATGGAAAAGCACACAATTATTTTAGCAAGTGTCACTCTGTATGTAAAAGGGTAAAACAGACAAAGCATTTTGGGCTCTTTTGAGAAAGATTTCTAAATTGTTCAGTTAAATGAAATAATAAATTATATACAAAGTTAGAGCCAACTCTAACTGGAGCTGATGGTAAATTTTCAGTGTGAGCATTTACACCTCAGAAACCCACAAATAGGCTACAAATCAGGGTTTACTTTATTGCTTTGTTGATTGTCTCAGAAGTGATAGGGAAAATGTTAATAATGCAGATTAAATGCAAAAGTATGTCCTGTGTATAGTTTTGGCAGAGCTGGTTGTTAAACATTTACCAGCACACCTCTGTATATGAAGTCTTTTCCATACTTTAGAGTGCTATATAAATACTAGTTGTCGTCATCATCATAATCATCATCATCATCACCATCATCATCATCATCATCATCATCATCCATTTAGCTGCCTTCCTGGAAGAAATATGACAAGATCCCTGTCCTCAAAGTGTTTTGTACCCTGAATGGAGATGAGTCAAGTCAACACGCATTTATTAGGCACTTGCTGTATGCCAGGCAAGACAAAACAATGAAAAGTTACAGGAGCTGGACAGAAGTTAAAGACAATAATAAAATATATGTCACAAACCAGTAAACATGTCATTAATTGCTAAATAAGTAGTACAGATAATAATTACTACAAGAATTCCCAGGAATCTGAGAGGGTGGGGTGACCAGGAAAGGCTAATCAACTGTTAAAAATAATCTCAAGTGGTTAAAATATTTTAAGGCATACAAAGCAAGGCATTTACGGATTGTCTTGTGTTACAATTATTTGTGTATTATAGTTATCACATCCCTCTGGTCAGGTCCATGAGGGCAGGGACAAGTTGCTTAATACATGTTTGTTGAAATACAAGATCATTTAATTTAGCCATTTTTTTAATTAGTTTGTTTGTTTTAGCTTTAACTTGTGATAGTGACTTCTGTAGATTGCAGAGACTCCACAACAATATCTGCATGGCTCTGGATCTATGTCAGGGTCCCTTCCTGTCTTAGGGGTATGAATTACATATGATACAGATATAGACTAAAAAAAATCCATTTACCTTTGCTTCTTTTAATCTGTATTCAGGAGGGATTGTTTCCTCTTTTTCACCTACTTTTTCCCGCTTTTCTTCTTTGGATTTCTCCTGAAGGAAAGCTCTCTGTCTTTATCATTGTATATATCATATGTGCGGGGGGTTTTTTGTATCTAAGTATGTGTATTCATTTCCCACCAACCAAGTAACTGAGATTTGGCTTGATGAGACTACCTTTGGGTTATCACCTATATCTGACCAGGATTATGAAGTCATAGGATCACAGATTTAGCAACAGAAAAGGCCTCAGAGGTCAATGGAATCCAACCTACTCAATCGAAAGATGAAGCTGAAGATCACAGAGGTCAATTACTAGTCCTGGACAATTACCAGTCCAGGATGATAAAGCTCTCAAGTGGCTGACATGGGATTTCAACCCTAGGTCTTCTGACTCCAAGCCCAGTACTCAATCCTTTCTCACAGTCATCATTTATATCCTTTGGAGACATATCCTGGGTAAGCACCAGGGTTAGATCATTGCCACTAAGTGGCTGCCAGGCTGTGTCCCAAGGCAGTTAGCAACTACTACTTCTTTTCTCTTTAGCCCTATGTAAAAGTGCAAATAGTTCTAAGGGTGCCCTGGAATCATCAGGTGAGTGAGTGCCACCCATTTAAAATGCAGACCTTTCACAAAACCAAGATGGTGGGTCTTGTTAGGTCCATTTTTAAAAAGGGCTTACAAGTGGACAAGAGTGACACAGACTGATGGGCTGTAATCTGTACTGCTGGAGGGAATGCTCACATGGATGATTACATTGATGTAAGTCCCAAACCAATTAATCGTCAAATCGTGCAGGTAAGTGTTTGAAACAGAAACATACTCAGGTATGCTTTATGAGTGATATAAAAGGGTACTTTTTGGAGGGAATGGGGAGGAGGGAGATGGACCTGAATCCCCATTACCTTTACTTTATCCACTGCAGGTTTCTTTTCTTCTGGATCTATTTCTTTCTTTGCTAGACTGCCGGCCAAGGCTTCCACAGCATCATCTGGCATCTCTCCCTTTTGGAAAGACATAGGAAGAAACATTGGCTTCTCACTGTTTTAAAGATGTATTTATCAAAAACATTAAAAATGATAAATGTTCATCTTGGGCATAATTCATCACATAATCTAAAAGCCTGGGATGAAAAAAATGTATGTTTCAAAAGTAGAGGTTAAAATCATCAGAGGCTCTGTATATGACACTGCATTTACATTGATAGTTGGGCAACTCGTGGCATTCATTAAAATGTGTTTGAGCATTGTGATAAAGCACACCACAGAAAAATGGGTAGACAGGAGCATTTCTTAAGTGAATCTTTTATTTGCATAGGATAAATTTTCAAACCATTCGTAAAAGGCAGGAAGACCTACCTTCCTCATGCTGAAACCAACTCATAGAAAACCCCAGAGGAAAAGTACACTGAAATACTTTTTCCACCCCAGGCAGAGGAATATATGAATGAGAGAAACAGTATGGGATAGCTTAGGATTTAGATAACTCCTAAGCCTTCTTCCACAAAGGCTAATTCTAAAAAACATCTGAAACCCAAAACGCTATCTCCTAAACCATCAAAAAGACACATCTCCCTTCTTCCAGGAAAAAAAAAATCTTCACCCTCTATTCCAAAAAGGAGAAACAGCATAGTACAGTAGATAGAGTACTGGCTTTGGAGTCAGGAAGGCCTGGGTTCAAATCCCAACTCAGACATATAATATACTAGTTGTGGGAAATGAGGCAAGCCACTAAGCTTCTCTGGGCCTCAGTTTCTTTATCTGTAGAATGGGGAATCTGGACTTGAGCTCTAGGGCCTCTTCCAGGTTTATAGCTATGATCCCATGATCTCTCTGTGGTTACCAGCCTCCTCAAGCCCTGGTCCCCCTCCAAAGAGTACCATATAACAAAGACACTGTGAAAACATTCATTTTTAATGATCTCAGACACAAAAGAAATGGTGCAAACCTTATTGTTATTTGGTGGCCTGATGTTTGCAAGGGACATTAAGAGGCTGCCCAAATTACTGGCCCCATCAAACAGTTTTGGATAACTCTCAGAATCACAGGAGCACAGATTTAGGGCTGGAACCATAGAGATCATCTAGTTCAGAGGTGGGGAACCTGTGGCCTTGAGGCCACATGTGGCCTTCTAGGTACTCAAGTGAGACCCTTTGACTGAATCCAAACTTCACAGAACAAATCCCTTAAGGATCTAGACCAACTCCCTAATGAAGCTGAGGCCCAAGGTGTTTAATTGACTTGACCAAGGTCACATGGGTAGCCAGTAGCAGAGGCAGGATTTGACCCTAGTCTTCTGACTAGATCTTTCCATACAATGCTTCACACTGTCAGTATTGGGGCTAGAACTCAGATCTCCTGACTTCTAAAATACCGTATTCTCTTTTTTATGCAAAGGGGTCAGATAAAATGTTCACAAAGTATGGTCCTAGTAGGTTATTTATCTCCTGACCTTGTTTTTCCCATTTTCTGTCCCTTGACTTTCAACCTCTTGCCTCTAGTGTGCAATACAATGTAAATAACACCAGAATTAGGATCAGAAAAACATGGTTCAAATTTCAACTCTGCCACTATGTGACCTTGGGCAAGTCATTGTCATTGAAAATCTCTGAGTCTTAGTTTCCTCAATTACAAAATGAGGAGCTTGGACTAGCTGTTTTTGTTTTTTTTTTGTTTGTTTTTTTAGCTCTAAATCTTATGATTCACTCGTTCTTTACTTCCTAATTATTAACCAGTCAACAATCAATCAATGCATATTTACTAATGGCCTACTATGTGCCAGGACCTGGGTTTCCAAGTATAAAGAATGAAATATGCCTCACTTGCAAGAAACTTCTTGTTCCTAGTTCTCAGGGGCCTATTTCTAAAAATTGTTAACCTTTATACAGGAGTATAATTATTAATAACAACAATAATTCTTTTGTATTGTTAACCTTTATATAGCAGCATAACTATTAATAACAATAATAATATCTTTTGTATTAACATAGCATGTTTGGCTGTCCATACAACAATCCTGTGAGACAGAAGTATTAGCCAGTGTTGGCAAAAGGACTAACAAAGGATTCAGGAAGTCAAGGAAAGTAAGTTGATATTAGATGGGATGAGGAAAAATAGGCGCCATCTTTCTGCTTACTAAAATTCCAAAAAACTTGAAGCTTTCATATTCCCACTACTTTCCTTCTCTGCTACTGTTCAACCAAGGAGGGAACTGAATTCCTTCATGGACTTAGCAGTCAAGCTGAGCCCACTCCACACCCAGCAGCAGGTTCTGTTTTGAATTGGAATGATGTATTTGGGAGCCCAGAAGTGATTTCTGATGCCTTGGATGGGGATCTATCATCTTGCTTCTCAGCCTCTGACCCTGCCTAATTCCTGCCTCTTGCACCGGCCACATTCCTTGATAACCTCAGACTTCTCTGCTATGAATATCCTTAGCTATGACACTCAGGGCTACTGCTGCCATGCTAGCCCATGTCCTAGGATGCAGAGCCTGAGTTCTCTGAGAAGTGCTTTAAAACCTCATTAAAGCTGACCCTGGCTGTGGTGATATAGAGACTTTGGAGTCAGCTTCAGCAGCATAAAACTGATGGCGGAGTGAACAAGGGAGATTCTGCCAAGGGGCAGCTGGTCAGTTTAATGCTAATAGGACATTTATTCCAAGCCCACCAAAATAAAGATGCAAATTTTTTAAAGTGTTAACAGATGCTGTAGATGCTGGCAAGACAAGTAGATCAAGTTAGTGATCAAATGACTATGGGTCATGTATGAATTAGTAACTCTTCAGGATCTGCCTCTTTGAGTACATTATATAATTTCTCTGAGCAAGAATTTCCTCATTGGTAAAATGGATATAATAATATTTGTACCAAAACCTATCTCATGGGATTGTTGTGAACAAAGGACTTCTGTTGTTGCTGTTCAGTTGTTTTAGTCATGTCTGACTCTTCATGACCCCATTTTGGGGTTTTCTTGGCAAAGATATTGGAGTGGATTGCCATTTTCTTCTCCAGCTCATTTTATGGATAAGGAAACTGAGGCAAACAGAATTAAGTGACTTGCCCAGGGTCACATGGCTAGTAAGTGTCTGAGGCTGGATTCGAACTTAGGTTTTCCTGACTCTAGACCTGGCACTCCATTCACTACACTACCTAGCTGCCCCATCTCATGGGTTTGTTGTGAACAAAGAGCTTTGTAAACCTTTAAATATTATAGAAATGGGTGACACTTTGGCCAGATCTATTTTCCTGGCTTTCTCCAAGTCCAGCTAGACTGTTGAGACCTTTTATTTGAGGCCTGCAGTGTGCTTAAAAGCTATTAGGTAGGGCTAAATTTATGATTAATGAAAGGCATTCTGTTGTTAGTTAATAGAAATAGCTTCCCTGTGTTAAAAAATGAAGGAAGGACAAACCAGTCATTTTATGTGTATGTGCATGTGTATTTGTATGTGTATGTGTGTGCATGTATAAGCGCACATGCATTCATGTTTTATAGTTATAAAAGCTTAAAACTGCAGTAAGACTTTTGAGATACTGTGCATATACATATAATATCCATATGTGTATATATGTATATGCAAATATATATATGTGTAAAATATAAATACATACATATTGTATATAAATGTGACATATGACTGTCTTTTTCTATCAAACAATTCAACTATCTATAGCTCCTAAAAAAAAAAGAGAGCAGCTACTTCTGTCATGGACAGCTAGGTGGTACAATGGATAGAGCTTTGGGCTTGGAACCAGGAAGAATCAACTTCATGAGTTCAAATCTGGCCTCAGACACTAACTAGCTGTGTGACCCTGTTTGCCTCAGTTTCCTCACTTTTAAAGTGAGCCAGAGAAGGAAATGGCAAACCACTCCAGTATCTTTGCCAAGAAATCCCCAAAATGGGGTCATGAAGAGTCGGACATGAGTAAAACAACTGAACACTTCAGTCATGGACCAATAGCTAAAGACCAGACTATATCCAGCAGCAGGGGGAAAAGTGGAAAGGCAGTTGGTTTTCTTTTTTTTTGTTTGTTTGTTTGTTTGGTTTTTTTTTCAGAGAACACCTTTGCTTTATTGTTACTAACAGAGACAGCCCAGAGGCTAGAAAGGGGAAGGTAGAGCCACCGCTACACAACAGGGGTAAAACAACCGAGCAAAATGGATAACTGAAGCCCTTCTCTTCCCCCCCCCCCCATTCCCCAGAGGGCAGCTGGCAACACCCTCAGGGCCTAAGGTAAAAGAAATGGAGGGACCCCAAGAAGGAAGGGAAAGGTTGAGAGAAGGGAATTTAAGTAAGAGGCATGGAGTAAGGGGTTAGGGGGACCCTCAGATCCTTGGGAGTGGAATGGAGTGTCCTAACAGACCACGTATTCTTTGCGCTCATTGAGCCAGACTTGGCTAAATGAGAAGCCTCCAAGGAGGAGATAGAGCCAGCAGCAACAAAGCAATTGTAGCTCATTTGTTCATAAAGTTCATAGATTTCCTGAGGACCACTCTCAGTAAAATCACTCTCAGTAAAATCACTCTCAGTTAAAAGTACATCCTCAATTAGCACAGCAGAATGGACATTGAAGAAAATTCCAAGAAGGACCAACACAATCACCCCAGGCTCTGAGGACGATGCCAATGTAGCAGGCAGCCAGCTTGGGCCCACAACACAAGAGGGAGGCCATGGCGATCCCAGGCCGGGACGGACAGTGCAGGAGCTGGAGTGGAGCTCGGGTCCCAGGAAACCGAATCCTGGACTGAGGTACCTCAAGGCAGTTGTTTTAAATTGTTTCAGGTTACTTCCCCTTTGTGAAAAATAATTCCTATGATTTGGCTGCCAGTTAGTTTACAGAGCAATTTGCTTTGAAGCTACACGTAATGGAGCATTGAACTGTTTGGGGAGCAACAAATAATGATAGAAAGAGGAAGAGAATAGGGTCAGGCTGAGGACCATTCATCCCCAAGGTGCTAAGGAAATAGAAAGTTTTCAAAGGTGGCTGAAATGATAGTCTTTAGTAATTAGATAAAAGTAGTCTGAATCTCGAGGAGTACATCCTTTGGTTGAAGCCCATCAAATAATATAAACATAGGCTCAGAGGATTTAGAGTTGGAAAGGACCTTACAGATAATCCAGTCCATCCCCTTCATTTTATAGGGAAGGAAACTGAAGGTCAGAGAAGTTAATTCACTTGCCCAAGATCAAAAAGATCATAAATGGCAGAACCAGGATTTGAACTCTGATTTTCTTAACTCCAAATTGAGGGCTCCTTGCACTATTCCTGCCATGCAGCAGACTTATAGATATCTAAGATTTCCAATAACTTGCATCAAGTCAGTAAGCATTTATTAAGTGCTTGCTGTGTGCCAGGAGCCTTGCTAAGCATCACTGTAAAAAATGTAAAAAGTGAAAGTCTAATGGGGAAGATAACATGTAAATAACTATGCACTAACAAGATATGTACAGAATAAATTGGAGATGTTCAACAGAAGGAAGGCACTAAGATTAAGGAAGACCGGGAAAAGCTTCTTGCAGAAGGTGAGATTTTAGCTGAGACTTGAAAAAGGACAAGAGGCAGAGATGAGGAAGGAGGGAGTTTCAGGCATGGGGGATATCCAGAGGAAATGCCTGGAATAGGGAGGGGAAGAGGAAGGAGGCCAGTGTCACTGGATCTCAGAGTACGTGGCAAGGAGTAAGGTGTAAGACAATTGTAAAGGTGGGAAGAGGACAGGTTATAAAAGGCTTTAAAAGCTGAAAGGGGATTTTATATTTGATCCTGTATGCAAAAGGGCCACTGGAATTGACTGAAAAGGGGTGTGTGTGTGTGTGTGTGTGTGTGTGTGTGTGTGTGTGTGTGTGTGTATGAGATAGACAGAGAAAGAGAGAGAGAGAGAGAGAGAGTGAGAGAGAGAGAGAATGAGAGATGGTCAGACTGAGCATCAGAATGAGACTATACAGTTGTGAATAGCTGGTAGGAGGCACTGCTGTATAGGTAAGTAAATAGATGTTCAGAGCAGCTCTCAGGAAAATAGGCAGTACTCTGGGGGTTACTTACAGGCTTTGAAGCAGGTTTTTGAGGGGTTTCCTGCACTATGCACATGTAAGTTTTTGAAACAACTTCTTTCACAGGAGCATGGGCTGGAGTCTCGGATTTCTAAAGGAAGAAACAGATATAATAAGCTAAAGTGAAAAAGATCCGATTAGCAAGACAGCACATGTGTGTACTAAAAATATCTGCTATAAGCATTATAAACTATAGGAAGAAAATTAAGTGCCACTGATTGCCCAGTACTAAAGTGGGCACATGCCAAACTTCTTCCAGCCACCATTCATAGCACATCTTACTTTATCTCTGGAACAAAATTTTGAATGAATTATTTTAGTTGTAGGAATGTCACTGGCAGATAAAGGAAAAGAAGAAACATCCATAAAAAGCCAAGATTGAAAATAGTCAGGAATGGATGGCATAAGTGGGACTTTTGTCAATCATTTCAAGGTTAAGTAGCCTATGCCTCATTACTATAGAAAGGAACACAGAAACACTTAAAACAAGAGATTTAAACCATTTTCAGCTTACTTTTGTTTTGTCAGCTGGTTTAGGTTGCTTTCCTTGAGGTTCAGAACTTTCAAAATCTTTGGATAACTCATCAACAAGTTTGGATTCACTCACAGGCTGCAATGCAAGAAAAAAGATTATGTAACATAAAGTGATGGTTTAACTGAGTAAATAGGAATGGTTTTATTAGAATTAGTTTTCTTTTTCTGGCAATGCATCACAGTCTATTTGCAGTCTACAAAACCAAGTTGCCCAACTCAAGACAACATCAAATACCAAATCTAGAATCTGATATGCTCAGGAAAGCTATCCTATCACAGCTTCTGTTGTTGTTATTTAGTTGTGTCAGTTGTGTCCAACTCTTCGTGACCCCATTTGGGGTTTTCTTGGCAAAGATACTGAAATGGTTTGCCATTTCCTTCTCCAGATCATTTTTCAGATGAGAAAACTGAGGCAAACAGGGTTAAGTGACTTGCCCAGGGTCACACAACTAGTAAGCATCTAAGGAAGGTGAGTCTTCCTGACTCTAGGCCTGGCACTCTATCCACTACTTCAATCACCTAGCTGCCTCCTGGAAACAAATACAATTGGCCTAATTGCTGTTACTCATAGACAACATTCCATGCCTTAACAGGAGCTCTCCCTGATGCCAGGAATGTACTCCTTGTCTCAGCTCCTTCTATTAGGATTCCTGGCTCCCTTCAAAACTCAGCTCATGTGTCATTTCTTACATGAGGCCTTTCCCGATGCTCTACTCCACCACCTTCCACCCCTGTCTGACCTATTATGTGATATTTGCCTGGAATATACTTTGTACTTACTGATATGTGTACTTTTTTTTTCATTTGATAGAGTGTAAGATCTTTAAGAGTAGAGACTGTTGCTTTTGGCTTTGTATTGCCCAACACCCTGCATGGTGGCTGGCACAGGGTTAGGGCTTAATCATTTGGCCAACTGACTATTATTTCCACAAAGTTACAGATATGGATAGAAAGAAATATGAACAGATCTGTGAAAGTGATATAAAATGGGGTTAACCTAACTATCTTACATATGATTAGGTTAATAATATAATAATAATATTAGGTTAATAATAATAAAAGGTTAATAAAATGTTATGAAGTTCTAAAGATAATGACATAACCAAGTGTTCTCTGACAGGCCTCCACATTAAAGATGAGAACACTAACTGTGGATTCCTGGCTCAGTGCTGCCTTCACAATACATTGATGTGACGTGTGGATGTCAAATTATACAGACAATGCCTGGGATGTCAGGAATTCTCAACTTATACTCAACATTTTGTTGGAAGAAAAAAAAGTTTGAGAGTATTCATTTCCTAACCTTGGGTTTTTCTTCAGGCTTTGGTAATAGAGGTTTTCCATCTTTATCCTGCAAATAAAATGGAAAATGGTTTTTGTTTTGTTATATTACCATTCAGACAATTTTGCCTTCTTTAGACAGTTCATGGTTAGAAGCAAGGTTATAGATATGTGTGGGAGCAGGTTTTATTGTACTGCAGCTAATTTAAATTTAAAATTGACCAATCTAACAAGAAGCTATAGAAAAGAGGAAGCTTACGACATTGCAACAAAATACAATTTGTGTATAAACTGGTGGTACCTAAAGATACCATCAGTAAAGCCATATGTAGAGAATTTCCACAATTCCTTTTTTTTTTAATTAAGCAGTGGTTCTGTTTAACAAGCCAAGATGGATATTCACCTATAGCAGCAATTGAGTGAACAAGAGCCTAGATGATATGAAAACAGAGAACAAATAGGATGGAGAAGAGACTTGAATTTATGCAATACGTAGATTGGTTGAAGGAAATGGGGGTGTTTAGCCTGGAAAAGGGAAGACTTGAAAAGAATGGGAAGGCATGATAATTATCTTCTAGTATTTGGCAAACTATGCAGAATTTTGCAAAAGATGAGAGATGTGAGACCTCAGACATGAGGAAAAAAAAATCGAGGCCGTTTGGTTTTACTGGTTTTATAAAACCAATATCGATTTCAATTATTCTACTACAAAATGGGTGTGCCAAATTCACACAAAACATAAGCAAATTCTCTCTCTCTCTTTTTTTTTGGCAAGGCAATCAGGGTTAAGTGACTTGCCCAAGGTCACACAGCTAGTAAATGTCAACTATCTGAGGCCGGATTTGAACTGAGGTCCTCCTGACTCCAGGGCCAGTGTTCTATCTACTGTACCACCTAGCTGCCCCAACATAAGCAAATTCTTTAGCAAGCATAAGTGTTTATTTTCCAAATAATGTCTATTTGTATTATTTCAAAAGGAAATTTTTAAATTAACTATAGAAATTTGCCTTTTCCCGTAGGCCAAGGATAGTGATTCCATCTTCTACCATAGGGCTGTGTAGTGACTCAGTGAATCTGATCTTTCAAGGAATGAAAAGGAGCAGTTCACAAATTTAGTACAGTGCTTAATGCCCAGAATATTATCAGGCTGGCAGGGCTGATGACATGTTACCTTGAAGAGCAGTTGTTAATATTCCCTGAAAGCCAATCATTTGACCAACTAACTATTATTTCCACAAAATTACAGATATGGATAGAAAGAAATATGAACAGACCTGTGAAAGTGACATAAAATGGGGTTAATCTAATCTGACTATCTTGCCTGTGAGACAAGATGTTCAGTAGTACACACATACTGGGGACATGAATCTACTTGTGTAATGGTACCCTAGGACATTACCGTTGCTGGTTTTAACTGGTAGTCGACTGGGAGGGTATCCTCACGCTCGCCACACTTCTTTAGTCTTTCTTCTCTGGATTTTGCCTGATGAACAAGTAGAAAACAAGCAGCAGGGCTACTTTAATATCGCTCATTTAGCCAATTCAGTAAAACAAAATCCTAAATAAATGAGGCACTCAACACATATCAGCTGAATGAAATGACATACACTCCATGACTATTTCTGTATTAATACATAAAAGGAGAAAGAAAAATTCCTCCAGAATGGTAGCAGCTTTCATAAAACTGGACTCTAGTTCAGAATATCCAGCACCCTGATGAGGTGAGTGGCTGAGTTGCACCTAAATTATTTTTCAGAGAATTCCTATTGTTAGGTCTTAAAAAGAAATTAGCATTTAAGGATAACATTTCTAGAGGATTTTACCATCTCCTGCATCCATCCCTTTCCCTCCACTAATGCAGCCATCACCCTCTTTCAGTTCCTTATCTCCTCTCACTCAGACTCAATGGCCTCCTAACTGATCTCCTTGCCTCGGGTGGCTTCTCCACATTCTCCACACAACTGCCAACGTAAATTGAAAGTGCTTTGCAGTTATGACCCACAACACCTGACTAATACTGTTGCTAAGGCTGCAAAACAGTCAACATCTCTCTCCACAGTTAAAATGCCAGACTCCCCCATCTTCTCCCATCTATCACCTTCTATTTAGCTCTTCATTGCGATGTTATTCAGTCATTTGCTTGGGGTCCACTCGAAATTTCTCTGAACCAAAATCATGCTTGTTTTCAAATTTAAGGACTAGATTTATAAATCTTTCTCAGTCACTGATTACATAACAACAAATTTCTAATTGTCTTTTCATGGAACTCTCCCAATTAGGAAATGAAGGAAAACATTACTAGCTCACTTTTAACCTCAGTCAAAAGAAAAGCTAAAACAAGACTTCAGAGAAGCAAAACAATGCAAGATTGTCCAATGGTGACATGTACAATACCTCATCAACTTCTTTGTAGGAACTTGTATCTATCTCAGGCTCAGCTTCTGGTGTGTCAAGTGTTTCACAAAGATCATCTAGGGCTTGTTTGGAGGCTGTCTCTGAGTACAACTATTTTGAGAACAAGAGGAAAAAAGTCTTTAATTTATAAGCAAATGTTTACAAATCATAGTAGCATAATAGAAAAGACACTAGGCTAGCAATCAGAGGAACTTATTTGTTCTCTGCCATTTACTACATCTGTGACCTCAGTTCAGTCTGTCACCTGTCGGAGCCTCAGTTTCTTCATCTGGATATAAAATGAGGGGGTTGGATGAGGTGATCTCCAAGGACCTCCAGTTCTAAATTTATGACCCTACTTTCTGTGAAATGCACCTTAAAGTAATGTTTTGTGGGATAGAGGGCATCTTCACCGGATAGAAGGGCACTTCACCGGACACTAAGCCAAACGATGGATGGAAAAAAAAGTTTGGTGGACTGACTGTAATTGCCAAACGTGAGTCAGCAGTGTGATATGGCAGAAAAAAAGATAATTCAATATTGGGTTGCATTAAGAAGGACATAGCTTCCAAGAACTAGATGCTGATCGTCTCATAATCTACCTTGGTCAGACCACATTTGGGGTACTGTGTTCATTTCTGGGGGCCATAGTTTAAGAAGGACATGAATAAACCAGAGCTTATCCAGAGGAATGCAACTAAGATGGTGAAGGGCCTGGAGTCCATGCCAAATGAGACTGGGTTGAAGAAATGGGGCCTGGAAAAAGAGGGACTTACATGTTTTCAACTATCTTAAGGGGTGTCATGCCCCTGATGGCAGAAGAAGAAGCTTTGGAGGGAAATAACTAAAAGTTGACTTGAGGCTGGATGTCAAGAAAAACTTCCTATCTCAAACTAGAATGGGGTGATTCATGAGGCAATGGGTTCCTTCTCCTTGGAAGTCTCCAAGCAGAGAGGCAGGATGATTATTTCTGGAGTAGGTTATAGTGAAAATATTCCATTTTGAGTGAGTTGGACTAAATAGTCAGTGAGGTCTCTCCCAGCTTTAAAATTCTGTGATTCTGAAATGTGTGGAAAAACATGAATAGGACACTAGAGATACTTTTTGTAATTGATCTGTGGTAACAATTGATGACAATATTTCCTTTTTCCTTAGGAAATATGAAACCATTTTTCATTGCTTATTATTTCCAATACATTAAATTGTTTTTTCAACCTACAAATTCTAAGTTATCACTGCTAACTAGCTCTCCTGCTATGCCTTTACAACACCTAAGTATCGTTTCTCTGGGCCACAGTTTTAACGTCTTCTGAAAAATGTCTTCACCTGCCAGTTTCCCCAGTTACACAGAAGGATTTAGAAAGGCCAACTCATTTTTTCTTGGCAGCCTCATCCCAGTTGTTGCTGGAACACTGCCTAGCAGGGGTGTGGTGCCCTTCATTGTCACACTAGCCATTCAGATAAAAACAAACTTTCCTTTATAGGGAAGTGATGGGAGGTTGGATAAGAACTTTGAGGAACAACTCCATGATGTCATGCTGCCTGCTGCCATGTGGGACATGTATGGTGGGCTCTCCAGGCACAAAGCAGATTGTAAGAGAAGGAAGTGAATATTCTTGTTGTTTTTAAGAGGGGAAGAAGTACTTAACAGGGCTGCAATGTTCACTTGAATCAAGCTGATTGAGGATTATGATGAGGAAAAGGGTGCTGCTTGACTGACTGCTGATCTCTAAGGCTCCTCCCAGCTCTTAACATGGTTGGATTTTCCTACCTCCTGTTTCACAACAGTGAGGGGTTCATAGGAGAATGTGTGAGCTCTCTCTCAAAACACCATAAATGTGACTCAATGAACAGAAATTTATTAAATGTCCATTATGTGCCAGGATCTCTGGTAAGCACTGGGGATAGAAAGACAAAAAGCTTAAAATAGCTTCTTTCCTAAAAGAGCTTATTGGAGGAGATAACAGGTGTGTGTGTGTGTGTGTGTGCGTGTGTATACACATACATATATACACACACAAAATAGATATAAATAAGGATATACAAAATATATACAAAGTAGGTGCAAGATGATTTGGGGGAAGGCAAGTATATATCAATATCGTACATTAATACAAAATGCAGGGCAGAAAGAAATTGTTCAACAGTCTTATTTTTAACTGAAAGGTGACCAAAAAGATACAAGTTGACATAAGCCCTTCTTATGTATGTGCAAAGCCTATCTGTGTATATAGGATTTTAGATCTGGAAGAAACTTTAGAGATTACCCAAATCCAATTTCATTTTACATATAGGGAAACTCAGGTACAGAGGAGCTAAGTGACTTTCCCAATTTTTGAGAATAATTTGTGTAGTATGGCTATTAATTATTATTTAAATTTTGATGGAATTATGAATCCATCTAGTTTGGGTTAATTTTTTATTTTCCGAAATTGGATTCTTAGAGATTTTTATTTCACATTCTGCTAATTTGGGTACTTTATCGTTTTGCAGATAATTCTTCATCTCTTTTCAGCTCTCATTTCTGAAAATTCTCTTTATTTTTCTCTATATATTATAATTTTACCTGGTTCCTTTTGTTAATTTTAACAATTTGATTTTCTTCCCTCTTATTTTTTAATCAAATTAGCTAAAGATCTAATTTTGTAGTAAATGACATTCTCAAGGACAGAGAACTATTCTACCCAGAAAAGCCTGGATCTGAACCCACATCCTGTAACTCCTTGGGTTCTTTCCACTTTACTGTACTGCTTCTTGCTGGATACAGACAGACATGGCTCCAATCAGTTTTAATTGCCCAGCACACAAGTGGGAAGAGACATGTTATATTTTATAGAACAAAGTTCGTATCTGCCCAATCAAGGGAGGTCACAGAAAAGTTAATGATTATTCTCAGATAGAACTGGGCTAGTTTCCTAAGGAAGAAACATTGATACCTCTTCTATCCTTCGTTTCTTCTCATCTGGAGGAAGAGGACTTTTGACTAGGTCTACCGATTGGGCTTTTAAAACTTCTTCTTCTGAAGCTTTCTGAAAGAGAAAGACCAAAATCCAGACTTCCACGTGAGGAACACTTTGAGCATTAACACTGTTGGCCAGAACTACCAAGCATTTTTTAAAAAGTCATAAATAGTATTTCTAGCCAAATACTATGGAGAATAATACCTCTTTATCTGTTGTCTTGCCCGGAGCTGCAGAACTACAAGTGAAGTCTGATGACAGGGAATCAATAGCTTCATCTTCTCCCATTGGTTTCTAGATGAAAAGGCACTATGAATGGCACGCAGCATGGATGAAGCATTCAAGTTCAATGACAGGTTATTTCACACACAGCAAGGGGCTGCTACTACGATGGATTCATGATGGAATCAATTTGATCCACTGGTGCAAAATGCAACTAACCCATAAGCCTGAGTCCTTCTATAAATCCTCCATATGCATATTCCCTCCCTTGTGTGCTGCAGCCTTCCTCTAGGTCTTCAAATAATCTGTGGATACCAGTGCACATAGGCCAGACTAGGCCATGCAGCTCATTTTAGCAGCTTATATATCTCTTAAGTGTTAGAGATTGACAATGGCCTGAGCCCAGAATTGAAAAAGAAGAGGAGAAAAGACTAGGTCTCATTTGGAAAATTACACTGTGCTCTCAATGAACCTGAGCTGCTTTGCTGTCAAAAAAGGTCATCTTTTCAACACCAGTTTTCTCCCAGTGATCTTATGAGGCTTATATGGAACAATATAATCTCTGAATGATTAAAACTGTAAGTAGCAGGAGGGACGATACAGTATCTCTGCATGAGGGGCGATAAGCAGGCAACCACAGGGCACCAATGATGACTGGCCTTCAAGAAATAATGGAGGTATCAAGCAAAGGCTGGTCCAAAAAGTAAGTGGGCAATACTCATGGCCCATACTAATAGAGCTCTGAATTCTTCCTTTAGATTTCTCATCTTTCTAAAGAAGTTTTTCCTTGCAGACATCTGACTCACAATCATCTCAATGTTTTTAAGCTGTTTTTCTTCCCATGGGAAATATAAAAAAAAATCAATGAACCACATTTTCAGGAGCAGGAGTTTGATTCCTTAGAAGCTTGAGATTTTCTGTTTCTCCCTTCCTTCCTTTATTCCCTTTCTCCTTTCCTTCCTTTCTTTTCCTCTCTCCTTTCCTTCCTTCCTTCCTTTCTTTTATTTTATAAGGTAATCATCTAAACTTACCTCAGTGTCTGGTGGACCTGGGGCTTCCCCTTCATGACTCTGAAAGAAACATTAATTTGGGGATGATGAAAAGGCTATTCCTTGCCAAAATGAGATTGTTAATGCCTTACAAAATACAGTACCTAAGAGGTTTACTGTTGAATGAGGATTTGTTTTACATTTTTTAATCACTCTTTCTAAATTAAAAAAAAAATTTAACAGTGATGTACACTTAACTCCAGAAAATATGAAATACAACTCTATGTTCATCCTACTTACTTCCAATAGCTTTCTGTATTCTGGTGGAATTGTACTTTCCCTTTTGCCCAATTCTTCTATGTAAGTGGAGGAAAGTGATTCCTGAAATATTTACAAAAACACAGATATAATTTAATTAGTTGAAAACACTAAAGGAACCTACTGAAACTGAAGCCCTATATGTTACCAAGACATCAAGTTGCTGTAAGATTATCTACAATTTAGATAGAAACTGAGATTTGAAATAATAATTACATTAAACTTGGAGAAATCATAGTACTTTTGTAACTAGCTAAAAGTTATGAGGATCAAATGAGATATTAATAAAACACTACATTGTCTGGCACATTGTAGGTACTTGTCTGGCACATTGTAGGTACTTAATATATGCTTGTCTTCCCCAACCCCTGTAATATTGATGTCAATAAACATTTATTAAGCACTTACTATGTATTGGGCACTGTACCAAATATTGAGGTTACATCCTAATTCTTTAACAGAATATTCATGTAGTTAAATAATACATATGTATACATATATATACACACACATACATTTATGTATAAGTTTTATAAATGCAAAGACAACAAATTCTATAATATTGTGGTTTAGGAGAATATAAACTCTATGAAATCGGCAACTGTGTGGTTTTTGTCCTAGTATTCTCAGATCCTACCACAGCATTTTATACATAGGTGTTTAAATAAATCTTTGTTGACTTGAATGCCTTAGAAAAATATAGTCAAGTCAATAAGCATTTAATCAGCACCTACTATGTGCCTTATGTTCCTTCCAAAGTTCTAAACTAAAGCTTAGACAGTCTGTCTGGGTACTGGACAAACCTAATTTCATTCATCACACTACGTTCCTATAAATGCTGCCACCTTGTTCTTCCTTAGAATGGAGGATTGACTCAATAAACTCAAACTCTGCTTACTGGTTGAAGTACAATCTTCCATTAAAACTATTTTAAAAATGAGATACGGAAATGTATGATGCTTTTATAGTCCAAATACTGTACTTTGCTGCAAACAAGATATAAAATCGCTACATTCTTCCCCAGCTTAAAAAAACTCCAGTTTTTATTTGCACTTTAATGCTATTTTAACATCATTGCCACAAACATAACAGAGTAAGCTGTACCAAAAACCAATTCAACAAAAAGTTTTTTCATCCTTAGGAAATAAATGAAAAAAAAAAAAAACAACAAAATCAGAGCAAGCACAGAGACTTTTAAAATAATTATTTACTTTGCAATCAACACAACCATGACTATGTTAATGGTCCTTCCCTGCTCCAGTCAGTTCAGTCAGGCTTATGATACCCTAAGACCCAAGGGAAGGAAGCCCAGGGCTGGGTGAAGGAATGGGATTCTGTTTACAGAAGCCACAGGGAGAGTGGTCTCTGAACTAGGGTGCCATCAGGAAGGATATCACAGTTCAATCTGTTCTAGTAAAGGATTATTCCAAACACCTCAGTAAACATTGAAAATACACACAGCAAATGCTGGATAATATTATTTCTACCACTCACCTCATATGCTGTTTTGAGAAAAGTAAGCCTCAGTTTACATTTATGGAATGCTTTAACATAATTTTATATGGACTAGTTCTGTAATTTCATCAGCATAGGGAACCCTTGGTGTGATATCTCCATTTACTGATGCAGTCCAGACACTTGTTTGCAGTTTAGATTTTTAGAGAGCTGCCTTGGAGAGGAGAGGTTAAGTGCACTATCCATGGTCACAAAGCTAGTCTGCGTTAGATTGCATCTGGGCCTAACTCCTTGGCCATCCTTCTATTCACAATGTCGTGCTGACTCTTGATTGCTTTAGTATATCATTACAATAGATTTGTTTCCCATCTGGTGAACCAATTCACTGTGCTACTTTTAACAAATAACAAATACTGTACCGAAACGGGAGGTCCTGTATATTTTGGACTTTCAGGTTTATTTTCTTCAGGTCCTCCTAATGTGTCTATTAAGTCATCTAAAGCATCATCTAAGGAACTCTGAAAAAGAAGAAAATAATTCAATAAATATCACTGGAGAGCAAATGGATGGATGTTTGAATTTTGATCCACAATATAAGGAAACAATTGAACATTGAGTGTTCCTTAGCAATGAACACTTCACAATGGAACCATACACTTAAAGTCTCACTACTGCACACAGTATTCTAGATGAGGTCTAAGGAGGCCAGAGGATAGTGGGACTATCACTTCCCTCTTCCCAGAAGCTCTAGTCTTCTTCATGCAGCCCAAGATCTCTCCAAGAGGAGAGTACTCAGAGGAGGGCACACAGAATGGTGGTGAAGGGCTATGGGTCCATCACATACGAGGATTGACTGAAAAAAATCAGGCGTATATAGCCTGGAGAAGAGAAGACAGAATAGAAGCAGGTTTTCAAGTATCTGAAGGGATGTCATGTGGAAGAGGGATTAGAATAGAACAAGCATTTCCATAACATAGTATCTTTTTTCATTCTACTATGTCATGGAAATGTTTGTTTTATTCCAAAATTTAAAAATAAATAAAAATTAAAAAAAAGAAGTTGTAAAGAGACGAATTTAAGTTTGATATCAGAAAAAACTTCCTAACAGTGAAATCCATCCAAAAGTAGAACGGGCTACCTTGAGAGGCATGAGTTCTCCCTCCTTGGAGGGATGCAAGCAGAGATTGGACAAGTACTTGCTGGATATATGTAGCCCTTCATAGCCCTGAAGGTCCCAACAAATTTTTAAATTCGGTGATTCTGCCATACTGTTACTACTACTCCTCCAATGATGACTGCTACTAGCTGATGCTTATAAAGCACCTTATGTTTGTGAAGCTTTTTACATGCATTATCTCCATCTGATCATAACAACATCCCTGTGAAAGTGGGTATCATCTCACTTTGATAGACAAGAAAACTCAGGCTCAAAGAAACTAAGTGTGGCTTGCCCATGGTCACTCAGCCAGTAAATGTAAGGGGTGGGTTTCAAATTCTCTAGACTCTAAGTCACATTTATCTCATGACTTCAGTAGGCTTGATTCTGAATGTGAAAAAAAAATCAAATATGACCCATGAAAAGTCTTATGAGAGCAGCCTGGGGCACAGAGGGGTTAAGTGACTTACCCAGAATTACAGACTGTGTGTGTTGAGGGGAGAAGGAAATCTTTAAAACTATGTATTTTGAAGCAGGTGCTAATCTGTATTGGTAGAGGGGATTTCTCCAGTGGAGTACCTCAATCAAGTCAAAAACCATTTATTAAGCACCTACTATAAAGCACCAGGTTAAGTGCTGGGGATCCAAAGTAAGACAAAAATCAGACCCTGCTCTCAAGGACCTCACAGTCTAGGGGCAGGGGGAAGAGAGCAGGGTGGGAGGGGGATGGGACATGTTCAGCTTTTTTAGCTTTATGAATGAAATTTTAATTCAACCTTAAGCTATTTGAATGGGACAATATTTACTATATATAAGTATGTAAGCATATCTATACATATAGAAATGTATGTATAGCTCCAATTTATTATATAAGTGTATAGTACACATATTTACTATATATGTATATACTATATTTACTATATATGGATTTACTACATAGCATATATAGTAAATTGGAGCTATACTTATACTTAATAATTTAACAATTCTCTATACAAATGGAACTACAGACCTAATAAAAAATTAAAGTGACTTTCAGATATGTTTAATATTTAAGAAAGAATACCAACACTTTCAGTTCATTAATACATTGGCCTGAAAGTAGTAATTTATTACAAAGATCTTTCCTTTAGTTAAATCCTTAGATGTTCTTAATTATTCCAAAGAAAAAATTTACTACTAGGACCTATAAAACTAAGTAATCACATCAGATTGGGGAAAACAACATGAAAATATGAATAAATGCTTTATGTGAGAATCTACTGTTGTCTTCTTACCTTTTCAGAAGGTTTATTGAACTCAGCTTTTACTGGTGCAGATAGAGGTAGGGATTTATCTTCTTTGTTCTTAAAAAAAAAGAAAAAAAACATGGAAGTATGCAAAAATTAATAAATGTCTATCTGTTCTAAGTGTTTTAAAATGAAACAACCTTACATAGTCATAAAATGGTTCACAATTTTTCATATCACTCAAGTACCTATTATTAGCCAATTTTCTTTTAACCAAGATAAGAAATTGAGGCACACAGAAGTTGACTTGCCCTTAAATTCTGTCATAAACCAAGGCAAGTAAGAATTCACAGCTTTTCCTTACCTTCTTAATTAAGGTTTAATTTTCAGTGAACGACCCTGGCTTTCTTTAGGTTTACGATCTAATCTGCTTAAATTTCGAAATCAATCCTAAGTGGGCTGCCCGTCTATTATGAACATAAATGAATGTGTGGCATTTTCTTCATTTTCATTTGGGGTCAAACTTTATAGTAGAGAATCTCCCTGAGCCATTCTTCTTCCTCCCCCCCCCCCCCCCCCGCCCCAATCTCAGCACCACAAATTTGTATGTTAATTGCCTAATTTAGAACTTCAAGAAGTCCAAGTCAGTCCTCAGAATTTTGGACATGTGTCAATTATCTGCAAATTCCACAACTGCTCTGTATTGTTAAATTTCCATAAACAGAAAATCCATATTTTTACCTCTCATTATATTAAAGGCTTAACTTGCAATGTAGTTCCTCAAAGAATCTAATGAATAAGTTGCCAAGCCATGGCTAAACATTAAATAGAGTTAATCCAAGATCAGGATTCTGGCGTTTTCATTTAGAACATTCTGTCTAGACTTCTTCAGATACTATAATTCATATGATCAAGAATCATCTTGTGTCTCTCTGAGAGTCCTCTCTACAGCAGCCCCAACAAATGATTCAAGTGTCTACTTGGAGATCCTCTGGTTAAGAGGAAGCCATTACTTCTGAAGGCAGTCAATTCCTGGATAGCTCTAATTGTTAGGAAATCTTTCCTCACATAAAGCAAAAACAAAACGAAACAAAACAAAACTCCCCACAACTCTTGGCAGCTTCCACTGATTACTCTTAACTCTTCTCTTTAAGTAGAAAAAGTTTTCCCTTTTCCAAATGAGAACCCCATTAATACTTGAAGACAGCTGTGAGTCCCTCCTCTCTTTAGAATTTTCTTATTCAGGCAGAAGAGCCTCAGTTTCTTCAACTTATTGTTATATAGCATTCTCTCCAGTCTTCTTACAATCCTGCTCGCCTTTTTCTGGACATGAGCCAGCTCACCTCTGTCTTTCTGAATATGTGATGCCTAGAACTGAACATAAGACTGTAGATGTGGCCTGACCAGGGCAGAATATGGCAGAGGTGTTCCCTCTCCCTCATCTAGGATATTGTGTCCCTCAAGGTAGCCTAGGACAACATTGGCTTTTTGGGCTGTTATGTCCTATTGTTGATTCATACTTAGATTTTAGTTGGTCTATTAAGACACCCAAGTCTTTTTTTTATAGAAACTGTGAAAAAGCTACCATTGTCCATTCTGTATTTATAAAATTGATTGTTAAACTTAAGTATAGGATTTCACATTTATCCCTATTAAATTTCATCTTATTTGGTTCAATTCATTGTTCTAAACTGTTTAGACCTTTTTTTTTGCAAAGTTCAAAGACTGTTGAAAATGGAACCAAAAATTTTACATATACTTCTCAGCTTTGCTTTCCAATAAAAAAAAGTGCATTTAAGTGTGTTGCATTTAGGTGATATGAAAGTTCTATAAAGAAAAGTAAATATTCATTTGGTTTTATGGAATGAAATTTTAATTTTGACCTCAAGTTATTTGAATGGGGTAATAATATTTGATAAATCCCTCCCTTGAAGAGATAGTTAAGCATAAACCACCAAAGTGGAGGATAGAGGGAAGAATCTTTAATGAATGTTAATATCTGAAAAACAGATGTGAGACATTCAGGCTCATAGTGACTAATGTTAGCATGTGGTTATTTGCTTCATAATATAGTTTACTAGATGTTGCAGCTACAGAACCCACTACAATAGTTAATCACATCACCAGCCAGAGACCTGCGAGGTGACTTAGTCTGAAGGTTGAGATAAAAATTTTAAAAGATTACACATCTGCAAATGATACATTCCGAGACTGCTGCCGTTTCAACGCAGGAGGATTTCAAAGCACGCTCGATTTCCAGGTCCTCCTTCTTGATCCATGAATCTCTTAGATCAGACACCTCCTCTTTACTGCCGTTGTTGCCATCTTAGTTTAGGACCTGACCATGTTTTGACTGGACTATTACATAAGTTCTAATTGATCTCCTTCCTCTAGCTTCTCTCTCATAGCTGCCAATGTCATCTTCCTAAAGCACCACATGCCCCTCACAAGCTCAAAAACCCTTAATTTGGTGGCTTCTCAAAGGATACCAAATAGAAATGATAAAACTCTTTAGGTCTAGAACTCAAGGCCCTTGGCAATCTGCCTCTACCCTATCTTTCCTAGCCTTATCTCAGTGTTTCTCTTCAGAAACTCTATATTCCAGCCAAACTAGACACTCTCTGTTGCCTTGTTTTGTCCTGCCTTCTTCCATTTCCATACATACATACATGCTATCCTCTAGGCCTGGAATGAACCCACCCCTACTTTTGCCTACTGTTTTATCTTCTTCAAGGCCTATTTTACAAATGTCCAGTGAAAAGGGAGCTGTCTTCTCAAACTTCTCATAGCACTTATTTTGAAATATATCTAAGGGTAACAAATAACTCCCATTTAAGGGCAGCTAGGTGGTGCTGTGAATAGAGCTGTGGGTCTGGAGTCAGGAAGACTCAGTTTCCTGAGTTCAAATCTGGCCTCAGACACTTATTAGCTGTGTGACCCTGGGCAAGTCAATTAACATTCAGTTTGCCTAAGTTTCTTCATCTGTAAAATGATCTGGAGAAGAAAATGGCAAACCACTCCAGTATCTTTGCCAAGAAAACCCTAAATGGGGTCATGAAGAGTTGGGCACGACTGAAAAATGACTGAACAACAACAACATAACCATTTACATCATGCTTTAGTGTTTACAAAATGCTTTCTGACAACGTTGTCACCCAGGCACCATTTGTGTAAGTCTTAACTTCTTTACTATAATTGTATGCTTCTTGTAGACAGGAATGTTGTCCGATTTCACCTATATATTCCTAGTGCCTGCCACAGAAGCTGACAAATAATAGATGCTTAATATATGCATGTTGAATCAAACCTCACCAATAGCCCCTAACTCACTTTCACTGATTTTATCAAATAATATCTGAAATTGACATGTACACATGGTGCTAGCACCAGGCACTATACAGGGTACCCTAAAAGGCTTAGTTAAGTTTTAAGTTTTAATACCTTGGAACTTGAATTTTAGTTTAGCTTTAAGTTACTAAAGTTTAAAACTGAACTCAGACTTTGGGGACCCCCTGTACCAAGCAGATGAATAAGAAAAGTCCCTACTTAAGCAAAAAAAAAAAAAAAAGCTCCTAAGCAAAAAAACTTATCTAATTGTTATTTCTCCTACTTTGTAGAGTTACAACACTTATTTATGTGCTCATATAACCTATCAGCTCATTTTCCTATTTCTTTTGCAACAAGACTTAAAACTCAGCGAGGTGTAGTAGGCATAGATCTGGAGTCAGGAATATTTGCGTTCAAATCCGAACATAGACACTATCTGTGTGAGTCTGGGCAAGTCATTCAATCTCTCTCTGCCTTGGTTTCTTCATCTGTAAAACGGATTTGATGGCCTCTGAGGTTCATCTTATGAGTCTTTCTGATGTCTTTGATTTTAAAGTAGGCTTAGGCCTTGGGGTTAGAGGAAGAAGTGAAAGAGGAAAACTATGTTTGTTTTTGTTGTTCAGTCATGTGTGACTCATCCTGACCCTGTATGTAGTTTTCTTGGCAAAGATACTGGAGTGGTTTGCCATTTTCTTCTCCATCAGATTAAGTAAAACTGAGGTTAAATGACTTGCTCAGGGTCACACAGCTACTAAGTACATGAGGCCACATTTGAACTCACATCCTCCCGACTCCGACGCCAGCCCTCTATCCAATGAGCCATCTAGCTGCCTCAAAGTATATATTTACTAGTTACTACGAACCTGTTTCAATTCTTTATAGATTTGTTCTCTCACATCTGCATCTGCCTCTACAGTAAAGTCATCTTGGCCACTTCTCAGTACTAGGAAAAGTTTGGAGGAAGTACCCCTTGCCCTATTTGTTACTTCTGTACTCCTGGGCAGAAGCTCTTGGAGGTACCAAGTTCCCCAACGAAGTCACCTCGGAGGAGAGCAAAGCTACAGTACCAGCACCTGAGGGCTCAACACACTCAACACAGCAGACAGACCGACTGAAAAATTCTGGCCCTCTGTGCGGACGTAGGTTATTTTTCTCTTTTCCAGGCACACTTTGGAATTTTCTATCCCTTTGGTTTTACCTGGGGGCCTTCTGTCGGTTTCTCTGGTGTTGGTTGGTCAGAGGGTTTGAGGGTTTCTTTTCCAGCAGGAGAATCCTTACTTCCTGTGGCCAACAACTGCTTAGAAGGGCTTTTTTGCTACAAGCATAGAAACAAATATATTATCAAATAATACAGTTTAAATGACAAGATTGATGGATTCTTCCACGTGGGGCAAGGGAGACATATAGGAGCAAAACCAAATTGGGGGTGCTTACCTTTTTGTCCCCCTTTGCCTTTTCTTCATGAGCATCTTTCCCATGAGCCTCAGTAGCCTGTCAATTTCAAGAGGTACAGAAAACATTTAACTGAAGCCCACGGGCAAGGTGGCAAGAGAACAAAGGGCTAGATCCATTCAGCTCCTCTTGGGAAAAGCATCATTAAAGTTTTCAGCTCCTACTATGTGGCTTTAAAAAGGCACATGGTTGCAACAAAAAGTTGCATGTACTTAGGTCAATACTTCAAACAATAAGTCTATAAAGTGCCCAGTTTGCAGAATTCCAAGAGTCTGGATGAAAAGTAAAAAAGAAATCCACTTCTAAACCATCACATTAGCCAGCTTCTTGCTGCTGTAAGCATTTAGGTGATGGTTTATTTTTACTTTTCATTGGGGTGTTCTGGCACTGCAGACACATCCAGGAGGTGGGGGAGGGGGGAGGTAGTGACCTGATCCACTTGCAAGTCTGTAGGAGAGAGTTTCTGAAACTTCTGGGAATGAAGCTAAAAATCCCTCCTCTCCTTCCTAGGTTTCACAATGCATTTTCATAGATCTGACTCGATTACCTGATTGGTAATTGGTGATAACAACAAAAGAAAGTCTTATCCCTAGAGACTCATCTCCAATAACCAATCCAGATCAATCTGATTGCTATGCTGGAATAGTCTCTTCTGCTTAAAGTAATACAGATGCTTTACCCAAAGAGCCAATTCATTCTTCACTTCTATTCTCCGATATCTGCCATTGCTCCCTTCCTGCCCCTTTCCCATATTCTTTATCCCTCTCACCTTGTTTTCCTCTTAAAACTACACACCCAAATCCTAAAAGTTGGATTTGAATAAAATAAACTGTTGTTCCTTTAATTTTCTTCTATGAACCATCATATTTTCATTTTAGCAACAGTTACACATCAAAAGAATAGGGACTGGAATTGCGATTCATTGCCATCAGGAATTACAAGGAGAGGAGGCTCTCTCTACCATCTCAGGTTGGCACATTCTTTGAAACTGATGACCTTTTTGCAACTTATAGTCAGAGTTGTGTAGACCACTGAGAGAGAAAGTGACTTACCCAAGTCACACAACCAATATGTTTCAGTCAAGGCTTCATGTGCTTCTCTACACAATAGAGGCATATAAAACAGTAATATAGTGCCATTACTTACAGAATATTAGAGTTACAAGGGACTTTAGAAATTGTCTAGTCCAACTACCTCATTCTATAGATGAGGACACCCAGACCTAGAGAGGTAAACTTAATTGCCGGAGAGCACATGGCTAGCAAGTAGCAGAGATGAATTGAAAACCCTTATCTTCTATCTCTAGTTCCATACTGTTTCCACTACTAGTTATTTTGCCATCTATGATTCTTTGTAATAAGAAGAAGCATGGGACAATATAAAAATGAATAAATAAACCTCATACCTTGGTTGACTGTGATTTTTCTTCAGTTTCCGTCTTTTTAGCCTAACATCAGAAATAAACACAAGTAATTTTAAAAGTTTATAAAGACCACCATAGATTTTTTTCTCAGAGAATTATACTTAAAAGAGCAAGAATATAGAAACACTGCTATCTCTCTGACTTCTAAAAATAACATTGGTTGAAATCATAAAAATTGTATTTAAAACCCTGATAGTCCTCCTTCACTTTTCTGTGATACTTTACAATCTACCTTTTTTTCCCCTACACATTTCAAGCATTCTTCTTAAGAGTTCTTCAAATGTCTTATGCCACATTATTATTGAGCTCCTCATTATCAAATATCATCAATGAGTAATAAGTAAATAACCAACCACAATTCCCAACCTCCCAGGTCAAGGTGCTTCTATGTGTTCTGCTGCCATTGAAGCAAAACTGGTTTCTTGATCCTTGTACAATGTACTCACCTTGAATTTTAGCCGATGGTTTAAAATCATGAAATGCATGACAGAATAGAGAAAATAAGAGAAGTTAACTTTAGTGGCAAAATATTTCTGATGCCAAAGAGAAATTGCAGGCTGGTGCCTAGTTCTTTACTAAAAATGGTGATCTTGAAATATTAGCATGTGCTGATCAGGAAGAGTGACCATTAGTAAAGTGTGCCCATAGTGTCACAGACTCACAGAGACAGAGAAATAAGATGAGCCGCATGTCACCTGGGGATTTTTCCTTTTCTTGTCATGATAATGTAGTCCTTTGGTCTGTTTGATTGGAGTAGACCGACATTACAATACATATTTATCAGGGCTTCAAAAAAAATGCTTTAAGTATAGAAAAGGGCAAAAAAGTATTTGGACTATTAACTTTCATGCTTCTCTCTCTGTGTATATATATATATATATATGTATACGTACAAACAAATATGTATACATATGCATATATACATATATGCATATATATGTATATATACATATATATATACATATATATATATATATATTCCAAAAGGAGAACAATTTAAAATCAAATAACTCTAGCAAAAATTTCAGAAGTCCCCTTTACTCTTTGCTAACTACAAAATTAGCCAATTTCTTTGCAGGAGAAACAATCTCTACTTTTGTGTAGCTGCTTTGTGGACATTGTTTACACCTATGATTCCAACAATTAATTATATGGTTATCAGCAAATCTATAGGGGCTACCTTGAGTAGTGTTCCAAGTTTCTATCAACACAATTTTAATGTATTTTATTTTTAAAGTTTCGTAAGTTCTCTCTACTAAAGTATATTGCAATGCAATGATAGCTATGAGTTTTAAGGAATTGCTAGAGGTTCAGAAAGGTTTAGTTATTTGCCCGTTTGTTGACCAGTCATTCAGGTGACCAGGGCAGCTAGGTGGTGTAGTTGATAGAGTGCTGGGCTTGGAGTCAGGAAGACCTGAGCTCAAATCTGGCCTCAGACACTTAGTAGCTGTGTGACCCTGAGCAAGTCACTTAACCTTGTTTGTCTCAGTTTCCTCATTTGTAAAATAAGCTAGAGAAGGAAATAGTGAACCACTCCAGTGTCTTTGCCAAGAAAACCCCAAATGGGATCATGAAGAGTCAGATACAACTGAAATGGCTGAACAACAATGAAATAAATATTTATTGATAGGCACTATAGGAGACTGAAAGTTTAGTCATAATGTGTTCTCTACTCTCATGAAATTTACATTATAGAAGATTAAATATTTTGGAATTTATAACTGCCCTTTCCATTGCTGATTATATGCTGATTGTTTTGAGAAGACAGATGTTGAAATATTCTACACCCAAGCACTACCTTTTTTTTTTATTTTTATAGCTTATCCGCTACCTAGAACACAGCACAATAAGACATTTTGTCTGACACCATAATATCAAGAGGCCCAATCACTTGCATAATGATGAGTCACTTGGCATACCAAAGCCTTTGTACAGAGGGATTGTTTCTCCAGGGGAGGCAACAAAAAACAAAACAAAACAAACAAACAAAAAATTCCATGTTCAAAGGCACATTTTAAAGAAAACAGAAAAAAGTCTGTACTTTGGATCCACTCAAACAGCACATTCAGTAATGATTTCTTCTTTGTGCCATGGCCTTTATTTTGGTTTCTGCAAGTATAATTTATTGGTTTACTGGTTTAAGAATGAAATCAACCAAGTTTAACTCAATGTTTTAGTTCTTTAACAGTGTACATTCTGATTCAATCCACATTTCTTGAGTACCCACTATGTACCAGGCATTTAAAAATGCTTGTTGCAACACCTACTGAACCAGAAGAGGTCTTAGATGTGATCTAATCCAGTTTCCTGATTTTATAGATGAAGAAACTGAGGTCCAGCAAGGTGAATTGCCAAAGGTTACAGAGCTAATAAATGTCAGATAATGATTGCGGATTAATATGTGCATTTCACAGTATAAGGCTGCACTGGTAGGTGGTCATAATTTTTGTTGGCATAGTTTGTTACATGCAAAGAAATCTGATTGGCTATTAATTAGATGCCTATTTACAGTATTTTGCAATGTATAATTCATTTCAACAAGCATTTTTGCCTCCCCTGGAAAACAACCCCTCTGTACATAGGCTTTGGTATGCTGAAATTTAAAATCCAAAGGGCCATCATGGCTTATGGCTCACCACTTCTCCACATACAAGGATTCCTGTGAGCTTCATATTGACTTAGTTTTCAAATGTAATGCTATCTATGTTTTATTGTATTTTCATTAATTTTGTAAAATATTTCCCAATTACATTTTAGTCTGGTTTGGCCTCCATTCAGGAGTGTTGTGGGGGTCAATCATGGGGTGTTTGACACCTTTGGATTAGGTAACTGATATTTGAAAATTTGTTCTGATATCGGGAAAAGCTGGATTTCCAAAAGGTACCTGTGAATCAGGAAGTGGCTTCTATAACTTAAGTTGCCTACTTGCACAAAGACATATAAAACCATTTGATAACAATTATCATTCCATACTTTTCCAAACACATGCACAAAAGTTTAAGACAAGTTAAAATAGATTAATTCCCAAAGGCCATCACATACCTTGGTTTCTGTGGGATTCATACTGAGAGTACTGGTTGAGGCAGGAAAGGAAGTAGATGCCTGGAAAGAAAGGGAATAATATGACCAACTCTTTCTTTAAATTAGACCCCACATTTTCCCTCATTTCCTTCATAACCATATCCTATCTTTTCTTTCTAATTAGCCTCATAGGATCTGGAGTATCAGTGCCCACAGTAGTTCAGCAATGAAAACAAAAATTTCAAATACTTTATTTTTTCTAATTCCACATAAAATTTTTTAATATTTGTTTTAAAAATTTTTTGAGTTCCAAATTCTTTTCCTCCCTCTCACCCCTCCCATCTCATTGAGAAAGCAAGCAATTTGATATAGGCTATACATGTGTAGTCATGCATAACATATTTCCAAATTAGTCATGTTGTGAAGGAAAACAGACCAAAAAACCCCAAGAAAAATAAAGAAAGTTTAAAAAAGTATGCTTCAATTTGCATTCAGACTCCACCAGTTCCTTCTCTGGAGATGGAAAGCATTTTTGATCATGAGTCCTTTGGAATTGGCTTAGATCATTGTATTGCTGAGAATAGCTAAGTCATTCACAGTTGATCATTGTACAATATTGCTATTACAATGTACACTGTGCTCCTGGTTCTGCTCACTTCCCCTTATATCAGTTTATTTATGTAAGTCTATCCAGGTTTTCTGAAAGAATCCTGTTCATCATTTCTTACAGCACAATAGTATTCCATCACAACCACATATCACAACTTGTTTAGTCATTCCCCAATTGATGGATATCTCTACAGTTTCCAAATTTTTGTCACTACAAAAAGAGCTGTTATAAATATTTTTGTACATATAGATCCTTTTTATTTTCCTTTCTTTCCTTTTTTATGTCTTTGAGATACACATCTAGTAGTGGTGTTGTTGGGTCAAAGGGTATACACAGTTTTATAGCCCTTTGGGCATAGTTCCTAATTATTTTTCAGAATGGTTGGCTCAGTTCACTACTCCACCAATAGTGCATTAGTGTTCCAATGTTCCTACATCCCCTCCAAAATTTGTCATTTCCCTTTTCTGTCATATTAGCTAATCTGATAGGTGTGAGGTGATACTTCAGAGTTGTTTTAATTTGCATTTCTCAAATCAACAGTGATTTAGAGTATTTTTTCATATGTCTGTAGATAGCGTTGATTTCTTCTGAAAACTGCCTGTTCATATCCTTTGACCATTTATCAACTGGGGAATGACTTGTATTTTTATAAATTTGACTCAGTTCTCTATATATTTGACAAATGAGGTCTTTATCAGAAATACTTTGCTGTAAAATTTTTTCCTTAGTTTTCTGCTTTCCTTCGAATCTTGGCTACATTGGTTTTGTTTGTGCAAAAGCTTTTAAATTTAATGTAATCAAAATTACCCATTTTACATCTTGCAATTCTCTCTATCTCTTATTTGGTCATATCCATAAATATGACAGGTAAACTATTCCATGCTCCCCTCATTTGCTTATAATATCACTCTTTATATGTAAATCATGTATCCGTTTTGATCCTATCTTGGTATGCAGTGTGAGATGTTGGTCTAGATTTAGTTTCTGCCCAACTGCTTTCCAGTTTTCCCAGCAGTTTTTGTCAAATGGTGAGTTCTTGTCCTAAAAGCTTGGATCTTTGCATTTATCAAACACTAGATTACTATGGTCATTTACTACTCTGTATTGTGCAATTAATCCGTTCCACTTATCCACCGCTCTATTTCTGACCCAGTACCAAATTGTTTTGATGATTACCATTTTATAATACAATTTGAGATCTGGTATAGCTAGGCCACCTGCCTTCACATTTTTTTTTCATTGATTCCCTTGATATTCTTGACCTTTGTTCTTCAAGATGAATTTTGTTAATTTTTTTTCTAGTTCCATAAAATAATTTTTGGTAGTTTGGTATGGCACTGAATAAGTAAATTAATTTAGGCACAATTGTCATATTTATTATATTGGCTCAGCCTACCCATGAGCAATTAATATTTTTCCAATTGCTTAGATATGAGTTCATCTGTGTGAAAAGTGTTTGTAATCATGTTCATATAGTTCCTGGGTTTGACTTGGCAGGTAGACTACCAAGTATTTTATATTGTCTGCAGCTATTTTAAATGGGATTTCTCTTTCTATCTCTTCCTTCTGGACTTTGTTGGATACACACACATGCACACACACACATATACTGATGACATGTGGGTTTATTTTATGTCCTGTAACTTTGCTGAAGATGTTAATTATTTCAACTAGTTTTTTTAGTTGATTCTCTAAGTATACCATCTTATCATCTGCAAAAAGTGATTGTTTTGTTTCCTCATTGCTTATTCTAAATCCTTCAATTTCCTTTTCTTCTCTTATGGCTATAGCTAGCATTTACAGTACAATACTGAACAATAGTAGGGATAATGGTAATCTTCACTTTACCTCGATCTTATTGGGAAGGCTTTTAGCTTATTACCATCACAGATAATGCTTGCTGAACTGTAATAGGCTATGCCAATCAAGTGTCTGCACTAAGTTTGGCATTGATACATTGAGCTGTCAGGATTGGGGCAGGAATATCAGGTTGCCCATGGAGGGTCCAACTGGCCCAGGTTGGAAATGGAGCAGGTCAAAGCTAATAACTATGTGCCAGGACTGTGCTAAGTGCTTTACAATTATCATCTTATTGGATCCCTGCAACAATATTGGGAGGTCAGTGTTATTGTGATCCCCATTTTACAGGTGAGGAAACTGAGGCAGACAGAGTTTAAGTGACTTGTCCAGGGTCATACACAACTATGAAGCGTCTGAGGTTGGATTTAAATTCAGGTCTTCTTGACTCCAGGCCCAGAGCTCTATCCACTGCACTACCTGCCTTAAGCTCAGGTGCCAATCAGTAATGGGATGAGGTCCATATATTTTAAGCCTAGACAAGTTGGGAAGACTCAGTTTAAAAAAAGTCTTACAAAGTCCTTTTCTTACAACCCTTGGGAGGTAAGCAGCACAAGTTCTGTTATCTCCATTTTACAGATAAGTAAACTGAGGCTCAAAGAAATTGAGTGATTTTTTTCATGGTTATATAAAAAACAAACATAGGAGCCCATTCAAACCTATGTGTTCTGACTCAAAGTTCAGCACTCTTTCCACTGCTTTAGGGGAGCAGGAACGGCCCTAAAAATCACCATCAGCTATGGGCATACATCTACATGTCACTTTGTGAGAAGACCAGAGATCTGAGAGAGATTAACTGAAATACTTGTCTTCCCAGCCCTCTCACTAGAGGTCAGGCAGGCAGTGCTGCATGCCTCCAGATTATATATTTTGCATATATTTATATGTGCACATATTGTTCCCCTTATAGAATATAAGCTTCATGAAGGCGGCAACTGTTTCATTTTTGTCTTTGTATCTCTTGTTACTAGCATAGTAGGCACTTAATAAATGTTTGTTGATTGACTACTTATTGGTATTTCAGCTATAGGCATGGGATGCTCCTCTCCTAACACTAAAAGTGAAAGGAACATTCCTAGGGATTAAAAAGAAACAGGCCCTACAGATTTATTCACTTAAACAATGAGAAAATGCAGCCAGCCCCAGTATTTATTCTAATAACAATAATAAAAACAGAGCATCAATAATAAAAAAGAGCTGCCTATTCTCTCTACTGATTCAGGCAGCAGGCTCACTGAAATCTCTTTTCAATCACCTCATCTCCCTCAACCATTATGGAAACTACCTTCTGGTACTGGTTGTCCTCAAATTCCAAGCTGCCAGGAAATGGGAGCTGTCATTGTTGGTAGAGAAGGTCTATGAGGTGTCCTTTGATGTATATTCGCTTGGCCACTAGCCATTTGCAAAGCTCTGTCATTGGCCAAAGTGAAATAATTCCCCACCCACATCTCTTTAAGGAGGATCATAGCTGGAGAGCTGCCTTTTAAATCTTGTAGACTAAGCAGAGTTATTAAACAGACAGAGAATTTCAGAACTGAAAGGCTCCTACATAAGATTATGTACTGCATCAGAGTCACATGAGAGATAAGAAAACTGAGTTTTTGATTGGTTAGGACCTGCCCAAGCATCCCCAGCAGGCTTAATGGTAGTGATAATAGTAGAACTTAAGTCTTCTGGCTCCCATCCAGGGCACTTTCTACCCCCTCCCATTCTCATGCAGAGGGAGCTCATTGATGCAGTAGACATGAACATCAGACCTTGGTTAGGGTAAGAGTCAGGAAGGTGTGCCGGAGTTCAAGTCTGGCATTAGACATTTACTAGCTATATAACCTTGGGGAAGTCACTTAACCTCTGTCTGCCTCAGTTTCTTCATCTGTAAAATGGGGATAATAGCATCTATCTCCTCCTCCCCCTCCTAGAGTTATTGCGAGGATAAAATGAGATAATATTTGTAAAAGTGCCTTCTGAATCGTAAAGTGCTGTATAAATACTAGCTATTATTATTATTATTACTAATGAAACTAAGTTCTTTCTAATTCCCACAATAACTTACCTTCCCCCCTTTGATTTTAGCCACCCTAACTAGGTAATACCATAAATAAACATCACAATTACAAACACCTTAAAGATCAATGGGAAGGCACATAATAGGTTAAAACTGGCTATATAGGATATTAATAAAATAACAGTTTTTTTATACATGAGTAAAAGACTGAGAATACATGTTGGTCATGTAGTGATATGAGAAACAACAACTGGGTAACCCAAGTAATACACAGGCATTTTTGGGGAAAAAAATTAAAGGAAAGTTTTGGATTAATTCTCCACATAGGATTTTATTTTATTGGCAGGGGGAGAGGGAAGGAAGCCTGAACTTGTGGTTTACTTAGCATGGGGAACTTCATAAATTGAAACAGCCTCCAACTGATATAGATTACAATTGTCTGTAATTTATAATTTTAAAGAGGTGCCTGAAGTTGACTAAGAAGTTAAGCAGGAAGAGGAGCATTTACATAGCGCCTACTGTGTGCAAGGCCCTGTGCTCAGGCTGTTTACAAACATCATCTCATGTAATCTTCACAACAACCTTTTGAGGTAGGTGCTATTATTACCC